TTGTTTATGGACTCTTGGTAACATCCACAGAATGACATGCGCATAAAAAAAGTATCACCGCCACGACCCATATGATTCCCCTGCAGAAGAACATGAATATGCAAGACTATAATAAATGTAGTGCCATTTTATGCAAGGAAAGGCTTGCACATCAATGCGTAAAATACGGTGTTGAATTTGATAATGATGCACATGTAGAGGCATTCCATTGGTGACAATTATTATAAATAATATCAAGAGTGCATAAAGTAAACTGTTTACGGACTCTTGGTTCCAGTATCTACCACGATCTCTGAATTCTGGTGCGTGAAGGCCGTGAACTCCAGTTCCGTACGAAAGTTCATTTCAAACCAGAGGGAAAGTGCGGTGTTTGATTTTCCGCAGTGCGCGGACTGCAGCTGAATGATGTAATGAAGGCAGCGCGCCGCGCATCTGGCCCATAGAAAAGAGATCACAGTTGCACACTCTTGTTTATGGACTCTTGTCTAGTCTTGATACAGTCAACTTCGTTTATAACGACACTCGGCGGGGCATCAAAAAAGTGTCCTTATTCGCGAAGTGTCGTTATACCCGAAGTCTCATTATAATATTATGTATTACAGTTGGATGGAGCTTTGCTCTGGGCAAGGACATTCTGTCGTTATTCGCGAATTGTCGTTATATCCGCAGTCGTTATTAGCGAAGTTGACTGTAATATCCTTAGCTAAAAAAACAAAAGAAATTATAGCAATAAAAACTGCTTTATGGCAGTTTTCTAAAAAAAGTTATTGTGTTCTAGTCCATGGACCCCGTCTAAAAAGTAAGAAATTAACGAAATGTGATAGCCGAAAATTAAAATTTCACACAAAACCTCACAATAATCACAACACTTGAGGATCTTAGTTTAAAAAAAAATACTGCTTTCAACACTTGTTTAGTCTGACCAAGAGTCCATCTTGGTCTGACACTTCACGGGTGACTTGTACGAGTACTGCGCCAACATGCATGAATAGGAAAGAGGACCACGAGGGGAAAAGATCTTCTCACTTTTCATCCTGTGTGTGATTATTGTGAGGTTTTGTGTGAAATTTTAATTTTCGGCTATCACATTTCGTTAATTTCTTACTTTTTAGACGGGGTCCATGGACTAGAACACAATAACTTTTTTTAGAAAACTGCCATAAAGCAGTTTTTATTGCTATAATGCTCATTGTGTTCAACTGCACTTTGCGTTCCTTTTTATATTGAGTTCCAGTGCACTTTGTGTTCATTTTCCTCTCTTTTTTCATTCTATTTGAATTTTGATGTATTGCGTTTTTGCTTGCCCGTAGAAGGGGCTGTTCAAATGCACATGCTCACATGTAGTTACTGAGTACTTCACGCACTACTACCACTAGCCTACTGCATTGTAGATCTAGAAGAGTACAGGAACGTACTCTTGGACGCACGTAGGCCATCGTGAGTATGCTCCTGGCCAGTGAACTAATACTTTACTTGAACACTGAAGTGGGGGAGGTCATAGATCTACGACTCGTAGATCTACTCGTGATGGCGTGGGTTCGGATCCGCACCCAGTTTGCAATCTTGCGTGACGTCGACCTTCGGCTGCGTGGATCTCGCCGACGACTCATTGGTTTGTCCCTCCACGGTGGAGCGGGCATCGGAGTTGTGCAATGATTGGGATACTGACTGTCACTCAACAAATGTGTTGGCTTTAAAAAGTAAAAAAAACCGCTTGAACCTCAGGGGCGTAGCCAGGATAGTGATCAAGGGGGGTGCTACGACTTTCCCCACATAAAAGTACATGCACTTATGTTGGTCCTTTCATGCATATTATTCGATCCGTGAATTTGGGGTGGGGGGGGGGGGGGGTGGCAAAATTTGCCTCTAATTCGACGCTGAAGATCAATCAGTGAATGGAAAATCTCCAACCAGGGAGTAGTAATGATTATGGTATTTTACTACACCCTGGCCTGCTTCCAACTAATGATGGACTAAGTCCTGGATGCTGCTCTCTCCAGAATTATCACACTCTCCATCGAACTTTTAAAGTGGGATTTCTCGAGCCATTTTTCCCCTTCGTCATGTTTGATAGTGCAGTAAGGCATCCTTGATCAAACCTACACTATTCCCCACAAAAACTCAAACTGCACTTCAACGTTACTTTCACTCTTCTACTGCTGTATCCACGTTTGCAATGCATGAAAGAAACTTTGCCTTTCCACAACGAGACCAATTAACAGCGAGAACTACATTATACAAAACATAGCGAGAACAAACTGCTATGTCTGACGTGTGCTTTCCAGCCATAGACCGCGTTGCTACTTCCTTGCTTCTACCAATGGCGTGTTTGTATGATTCTTTGCTTCTAACAAAACATGTGGAGTGCGATACAAATCATACGTTGAACCTGCTGAGGCCTGATGTGACACTGCACAACGGCAGGTACGAAGCGGAGTTCCCTTGACTAGAAATCTCATCGCAAAATGGCCAATCATGAGACAAAAATTAATAGTCCACTTCATGTGGATTGGTTTCAGATACAGTGCACTTGCAGGTCTGAACCAGGTACATAGTAGTAGTACCTACTACTCCCTGGTCTAAAACAGGGATGGCTACAGTGTGCGATATGCAGAGTTGTGCATGTGATCAGTGGGTCTGTCTCTCTCGAACCAGCTGTGAACCAAGATCGAACTTTTTGAGGGGGGTGCTCTGGCACCCAAAGCACCCCCCCCCCCCCCCTGCATACGCCCCTGAACCTGGTTGAAGAGTACAATAAACCTTTATGTACTCGTGGTGTATAACGTGTATTCCACCTTCGCCCTTTATCCCATCCACCCCCCCCCCCCCCCCCCCACATGATCGGTGTACCGTCACACACGAACAGCCGACAAGTGCTTAGCAATGGGTTATGCAGTGGGAGTGGTGACTGTGATCTTGTCTACTGGAAGATACTGACGTGCTGTCTGACAAGGGTACGGGATTTGCGCATATCTGCCTGGAGGCAGTTGGAGTCACGTGGAGCAGGAGGAAAAGAAAGGGGACTTTAAGAATAGGGTGGACCTAGCTAGGGGGAGACGAGCTCAGCTTCGGGTGGTACCAAAAAAAAACAATTTCAAAAGCGACTGTAAATGACCAGGGTGCTGGTCAAGAAAATGGAATGTGCCAGGGAAGGTAGTGTTGCAAAGTGGTGGTTGATGCAGCAGCAGCATGTAGACGAGTCTGGATTTCATGCCGGACAATGTTGTTCAGTCTCTCGATCTGTCTTCCCTTCCACTCCTAATCATAATCACGGGTGATTTCAATGGCCACAATTCATCATGGACACGGTGGTGTCCAACCAACCATTCATCAGTCCCCTTTTGAAATCGAGCTAGATCTCCTATTTCGCTGCTACCGGCTACAGCAGCTAATTGACTTTGCAACACACACTGCACCCTCAGGAAAGACATCATGCCTTGACGTACTGCGCACACAGCATAAGCAGTATCGCCTCTGCTCCTCCGCTAGGGGCCTCTGACCATGTCCAGATATGGTGCTCCTTTGAACCGCCCCTCCTGCCCTATGCTCGCGATGAACGTTGCCTGCCTCAAGATGGCCCCGAAGACATCACCTTTACATTGTACGGATACGACCCTGGTACATGGTGCGCTAGCAACTGTGAGTTAAAGCACTCCATTCATCGGAAACCGTCCCGCTGGCTTCTGAAAGTCCGATTTGGGCCGAATTGAGGATCAAAAACCCACTTTAAATATCAAAAATCTGGGTTTGGGGTCTGCTTCTCCATACATTTTCCCATGGCATACCTGTCCTAATTTGGTAAAATTTGGCTGAATTTCTATTTCCCTGTTCTTGGACTTTTCTGGCCTCAAATGTGGCAAGGAGTAATTGCACGGGTCACACAACGCAAGACGTACTGTTGTTTTCACGATATCTATCACTATGTGTGGGAGACACCAAAACGTTAGGGTGCCAGTTTCCAATGAATCGAAGCAGCGGGATTGGAAAGCGTGTTTGGGCGCCACTTGAAGGTGTAACTTTGAAAGTGTATCAACGCGTACAACCTCGCACTCCTTTGGAAAGTCTTTAAACAAAGGCCGATTCATACTTCATTTCGCGTATGGGAAAGTCATCTCGCGATGACTTTCCCGTACGCGAAATAGTTGAGGTCAGATCAACTTTTTCGCGACGCGTTTCCCGTACGCGAAATGAAGTACTGTGAAATGGGTAACGTTTGCGACAATAAATTTAATGTTTGAGTTTTACAAAATTGAGACTGGTTTGCGCTGTTTAATGTTTGCGATTGAATGCAATTTATGTACGACACACATGTACGACACAGTCGAGTCAGTCCTTGCACTGAACTTTACATGGCGCGAGTTTGCGTTATTCAAAGTTTGCGATTCGGGGGCCTCTCGCAAAATCCGCGAACATTTTTACGTCGCAATAGTCATCCGTTTTAGTGTATGAATCGGCCGTAGCGGGATCCACAGAAAGATCTTGCAATGCGACACTCTATGCGATGGTCGCTAAAACCGGGGAAATCCTCAAATCGTAGCCATCTCGCAGCCCATACAACTGCCGGAACTGGGCCATCGCAGAAGTTGAGCTTGGCTCAACTTTTGCGATGCGACGAGTGATGTGGCCTGCGATTTTGACCTTTTCTGCAGCAAAGTCGTAGTTGCCTGTAAATGTGTACAATTTGTACCAAACCACGCGAATACCATGGTGACGTACCCACCTGCATTGAACTTAGCGCCAAATCCACAAGGCGTCGTCGCATCGCTGACTTCTTCTGTGAATGGCGTGCGATGCAAACTCTCGCGAAATACCATTCACAGCGATGCGACGATGCCTTGCTGATTTGGCGCGAAGTAGCCTGCATAGACAGAGCCTGATTCACGCTTCATGTTGCATCTGGAAAACGCGTCACATCGCGACCAAGTCGACTCGCACTCGACCTGTTTGGCCCGCAGCAAGACCCTCGTGTGATACGTTTCCCGTACGAGAAATGAAGCGGTGCACAAAGAGAAAGCGACGAAACGGCGAGTGAAGAATAACTATAATCAACTTCGAAAAATCCACACGGATAATTGCATACAAACTAAATGTATAACACACAGCAACACACAGCAATGACACGACTGCATACAGTAGCAACTCGGCAAGGGAATGTGCAGTCTTGAGATCATGGTTAAGTGAGGTCAGTATGAGTTGCGAGAACACTTTCAATACATACTATAATAACAAGGCAACGACTTCCAAGCTGAGCATAATACATGGATGCTGATTGCCGCCGCACTGATGCACAAATCACTTCTCAATATAAGTGTTGCCGCTGTTTCAAATCGCTACCCCCACAACGACCAGTAGCCACAGCGGCTTTTTTCGTTGTGGCCATTGCTGCTGCTGCTGCCGCTGCTGTTGTTGTTGTTGTTGTTGTCGTCGGCAGCGCCGTCGTTATCGTCTTCGTTGTTCTTGTTGATGATATTGTGGTTGACCTTATCAGAGCTGTCTGCTCTTGCCAAGGCCAGGATGAAAGGGAAATCCGAACCGCATGCTAGTCAGTCACCGAACAGTCACTGCTGCATACTAGTCAGTCTCCGAACAGTCAGTGCCATGAAACCCAGCTTTGCACTCGCAGGAAAAGAAACCGGGGTAGTTTACACACTGTGTGTTAGGTGACATACAGGCTCCTGGTTCAAGACATTCATCAACATCTACAGTTGGAGATAAATAGAGAGAGAAGGAGAGAGAGAGAGAGAGAGAGAGAGAGAGAGAAGGAGAGAGAGAGAGAGAGAGAGAGAGAGAGAGAGAGAGAGAGAGAGAGAGAGGAGAGAGAGAGAGAGAGAGAGAGAGAGAGAGAGAGAGAGAGAGAGAGAGAGAGAGAGAGAGAGAGAGAGAGAGAGAGAGAGAGAGAGAGAGAGAGAGAGAGAGAGAGAGAGAGAGAGAGAGAGAGAGAGAGAGAGAGAAGGAGAGAGAGAAAGCGAGAGAGAGAGAGAGAGAGAGAGAGAGAGAGAGAGAGAGAGAGAGAGAGAGAGAGAGGAGAGAGAGAGGGAGAGACAGGCACCAAGACGTTGCAGATCTATCGTTATGCTGCTTCATTACGTGACCTGTTTTATTATTATGTCTCCTTTATTCACTTCTTTTGAAGGCCATAAGCCAAACCCACTGGGAAATATTTCCATGGGTGGGACAGCAAAAAGAACAGAATAAAAAAGCCAAAACCAAAAGGGAAAAGAAATAGGGGAGGGAAGAGGAAGAAAGGAAAGAAACTCAATCCAAACTCCAACATCAAAACAATAGTACCGTAAAAGTCCGTAAATAAGTACCTGCCCGAAAGAAATACCCCCTTCATTCTTTTGGCTCTGTCTGTTGAAGTCAAGTCAAGTCCGATAAACATACTGCCCGAAATAAGTACCGGTACGATGCGCACATGCAGCACGTAGCATGTACATCGACATGAAAATGACTTCTCCACTACCGTATTTTCCGGAGTAAAGTGCGCACTTTAGATGTGCTATTTTAGGCCCTAAATCGCAGGTGCACACTATGCTCCGAATATGAAATGTATGTACTTCAATTAAGATTGAAGTGCGCACCCCCAATGAAGATTGGGGGTGCGCGTTATACAAAGGTGCGCACTATACTCCGAAAATACGCTACACACAAGTCAGGTCCGAAAGTTAGCTCGTGCCCGAAAGTCAGTACCCCCCCGAAAGTTAGTACCCCCCCCCCGAAAGTTAGTACGGGTGCGGTCACTGACACCTAGCTTCAACAGAATGTCTCAGTACTCTGTCAGTTTTGCGCCTAGTTGTTGCACTTTCTGACTGTATATAGTATCTAGTTACAGTGGTGGAGAGTTACTCTTAACTCGTTTCCATATGTCCTTTTCCTTTCTATGTTTATTATTATTATTATTTTTTTTAAAGAGGTCGGAGGCGGATAATATTTTAAAACGAAGGTAAGTTATGGGTCGCAAGTATCCACGCAAACACACATCCAGTCACAATAAGGCATTTGTTAAAAGTATCCGAACGTTTTCGGTCCCTTGTCATCAAGGATTGTACACGGTTACTTTTTACTAAGGGTAGGTAGAACGTCCTCCTTCACACTGAACGCACGCACTGTCCCAAATATGACGTACAGCTTGACGCACGGATATGATGGACATACGATACCACGAACATCCTTCTCTACGCGCGCAGATCCGGCGCCAACCCAGGGTAAACGGAGCACCACTGGGCAACGGTCAGGTCCAAATTGGATAGGCTTGTCTGTCACTGGTTTTTCGTTGATTAGCTTGGCCAGAAATTCCTTTGGATAGCCGTTGTTCGTAAATATTGATGTCAGTCTGTCTAATTCGTCCTGCAATGGATGAGGGGAACATATTCTATGTGCACGATAAACTAGAGCTTTCACAAGATGTCTCTTCGATTTCGTTGGAGTATAGCTCCCCCACGGAATATAGAGGCCGGTGAAAGTTGGCTTCCTATAGATAGTGGTGTCCAAACTCTTAGTGTTAATGTTACGTGATATTTGTACATCCAAGAAGGATAATCTGCCGTTTTGTTCCGCTTCCGACGTGAATCTCAACGCCGGATGGAGGCTATTCAGAGTTAGTAGAAAAGTCCCACAGACATCCTCATCCTCATCGTGACAGTACACATCGTCTACAAAACGACAGTACATAGAGGGCCACAATGATGGACTAATGGACGCTTCACAGAACCCTACAAATAATTATATAAGCCAATACAGGACCAAGCGGCGAGCCCATGGCAACGCCATCTATTTGTTTAATGTTTATACATAACGTTGCCAAATGAAAACTCAACGCCCGACGTAACCATTAACATGAGTTTCACAAACTCTGTTTCGTTCAAAGACGGCGGAGTAGTGGACTTATTCTGGTACAGTGTTGTTGCAGTGTTGTTGCGCAGATGTCAATTGTCTCCCGTAATGGCACGTTAGTAAATAAGCTCACCACGTCATACGAACACAGGAATTCGCTCGATTCAAAGCTTGCGTCCTTTAGCTTTTCTACAAACTCGAAAGTATCTTTGACGCAGTGGCTATTGTAGAGGTTGAGTACCGGTTGTAGCATGGCACATAGCCACTTGGATGTTTTAAATTGCGGTGACCCAGACATGCTGAGTATTGGTCATAAGGGAATGTTCTTCTTGTAAATTATTATTATTATTATTATTACAAGTGGAATCCTGATAACTCGAACCTCCAAATGCCGGCAAAAAACTTCTAATTATCCGGATATTCTAATTATCTAAACATGAACCCACAACACAATATGTATGTCAAAATGCTCCCATGGTCACGCAGAGTAGCGCTATGGACCTTAGACACAGATTTCACGGATACTGAACTGACCGGCACAGCCTGCTCGTGCAAACTGAACTGATCAGTACAGTGTACAGTGAACTTCGAATTACACTTTGCTAACTTCGAATTACCAACACGGATCCCACGCATTTTCTATGTAAGTGGAATCCGTGGGATTTCTAATTAACTGGACATGTCCAGCTCGAGGTTCAAGTTATCAGAAAAATGTATGTGGGAATTATGTTGATAGAAATTGGTCCTGGAAAAACTTCTATTTAAGCGGCATGTTCGAATTAAGCCACCTTCGAATTATCAGGATTCCACCTGTATTATTATTATTCTACTTTTGGCCCTGGTGTCCTTTCTTTCTACTCGAAACACAGCTAGAATGGGAGGTATACCATGGTACGGTACGGAGGGCCTGTTTTCAGCCAATCAGCGCTCATCTAGCCATGGTTATATTGGCCAGTATAAATCCCGCCCGTGATTTATATCGAATATAAATCCCGGTGCACGGTACGTATGCTAGGGCACTGCCACTGCAAACGTTCACTGCTTGAAAGGCAGTGAACTTGTACGCCGGCAGTACTCCAGCGCACGCACCATTCACAACAGACACTACATACACCACATGCACGTGTACACTCCAAACAGAACAGCATTACTGACGAGGAACAGCACACAAATTCAAAATGGAAAAGAAGAATGACCTGGAATTCGTCTACAGAGTATTCTATTATACTGAATCTGAGGATAAAGAACATTAACCATGAAGTATCCCGAATGGGTCAGCAATGTACATTGTACTTCGAAGAGTTGAAGATCATCAACAGACTGTCTCCTTCGTAACTAAGTTTATAATACAGAGTGTACTTCAAACCGATTGGAAAATGCTAGATTGGATTGAAATGTGACAGAGTGATACAAAACAGTGTATGCAAATGCATCTACTTGCAAGTAGGCAGAACTGATTATAAGATGCCGCATGTGAAAATCAGCGTTGTACCATAATTATAGTAACACTTACTCCCAAAGAGTCCAAACTGTAGTCTAACTAGTGACGGTAGTTTGATTCAACGACAAACTCCAGCACCCCAGCAATTCAGTTGACTTCCGCACCGCTCACTAGGCACCGGCGGATTATGCCGGCATACTCGTTGGCATAATTTGGTGGTTGAAAATTTGGAGCATAATTTGGCATCCTTTCGGAAGTAGGAGCATAACTGCATGATTGTACCACAGTTCTAGTACGTAGGCTACACAATTGTGTACAATGCACCTGATCAGTGCTGGTGGTCTGCATGGTAACGGGTTCGGGGGTCATGCAGATAGTGTTTTCAATGGAAAGCAGGGTAGAACTCATGGCAATACATTGTTGTATGCTCGAACTCGTCTTCTTCAAAGTTCCTTCTCACAAATGAGACTCATGGTTGTATGCTCGAACTCGTCTTCTTCAAAGTTCCTTCTCACAAATGAGACTCATGGTTGTATGCTCGAACTCGTCTTCTTCAAAGTTCCTTCTCACAAATGAGACTCATGGTTGTATGCTCGAACTCGTCTTCTTCAAAGTTCCTTCTCACAAATGAGACTCATGGTTGTATGCTCGAACTTGTCTTCTTCAAAGTTCCTTCTCACAAATGAGACTCATGGTTGTATGCTCGAACTCGTCTTCTTCAAAGTTCCTTCTCACAAATGAGACTCATGGTTGTATGCTCGAACTCGTCTTCTTCAAAGTTCCTTCTCACAAATGAGACTCATGGTTGTATGCTCGAACTTGTCTTCTTCAAAGTTCCTTCTCACAAATGAGACTCATGGTTGTATGCTCGAACTAGTCTTCTTCAAAGTTCCTTCTCACAAATGAGACTCATGGTTGTATGCTCGAACTCGTCTTCTTCAAAGTTCCTTCTCACAAATGAGACTCATGGTTGTATGCTCGAACTCGTCTTCTTCAAAGTTCCTTCTCACAAATGAGACTCATGGTTGTATGCTCGAACTTGTCTTCTTCAAAGTTCCTTCTCACAAATGAGACTCATGGTTGTATGCTCGAACTAGTCTCCTTCAAAGTTCCTTCTCACAAATGAGACTCATGGTTGTATGCTCGAACTCGTCTTCTTCAAAGTTCCTTCTCACAAATGAGACTCATGGTTGTATGCTCGAACTCGTCTTCTTCAAAGTTCCTTCTCACAAATGAGACTCATGGTTGTATGCTCGAACTCGTCTTCTTCAAAGTTCCTTCTCACAAATGAGACTCATGGTTGTATGCTCGAACTCGTCTTCTTCAAAGTTCCTTCTCACAAATGAGACTCATGGTTGTATGCTCGAACTTGTCTTCTTCAAAGTTCCTTCTCACAAATGAGACTCATGGTTGTATGCTCGAACTCGTCTTCTTCAAAGTTCCTTCTCACAAATGAGACTCATGGTTGTATGCTCGAACTCGTCTTCTTCAAAGTTCCTTCTCACAAATGAGACTCATGGTTGTATGCTCGAACTTGTCTTCTTCAAAGTTCCTTCTCACAAATGAGACTCATGGTTGTATGCTCGAACTAGTCTTCTTCAAAGTTCCTTCTCACAAATGAGACTCATGGTTGTATGCTCGAACTCGTCTTCTTCAAAGTTCCTTCTCACAAATGAGACTCATGGTTGTATGCTCGAACTCGTCTTCTTCAAAGTTCCTTCTCACAAATGAGACTCATGGTTGTATGCTCGAACTTGTCTTCTTCAAAGTTCCTTCTCACAAATGAGACTCATGGTTGTATGCTCGAACTAGTCTTCTTCAAAGTTCCTTCTCACAAATGAGACTCATGGTTGTATGCTCGAACTCGTCTTCTTCAAAGTTCCTTCTCACAAATGAGACAGTACATGTAGCAGAAGATGTGAGTGAATCAGCCTTCATCAGGTATCCCGGGGCGGACGAGATAGTGACGGATAGTCTGCAAAACTCCGCGACCATGGACATGTGCGTTATGCATGTTACGAAGTCATGACCTCTGAATTTTAGCAGCCATGACTGTGCAGGCTATGGATATTGCTCTAATAAAAAAAATGAGGTATAGTTGATGTTCGGTCATGATGGAAGGAGAGGTGGAGCTAAGGGAGAGATGAGCTGATTAATCGCAGGGTGAGGGTGGCATCGGTTGGACGAGTATGACGATTACGAAGACAGTTGAATATGATAATTGTCAAAGGTAACTCAAACTAATAATTATTTGGCAATGAAAGAATCTTTTCACAGCTGAAGTCAACTAATGAATAGAAGACATGGGCCTCAACCAGCGAAATCAGCCCTTAGGGTCTAAAGTTTCAAAATTCATTTTTGGTTGGAAATTTGTTGAAACACATCTACTGAAGGACCTCAGCCAAGAAAAAGTTCAATATTCCGATTCAAAATGGGTGTATACACCAAAATACAATATATACTTCAAATTGGTGCAATGTATGTATACGATGTATGTGTACAATGAATATTCAGCATTCTAAGGTGGGTGGGCAGCTTGAATACCTTTGAACTGGTGCAGTAAGCAGCAATATTGACAAAGAATAGCTGATGAGTGCGGAGAAATGATCCACATATTCGCAGCTGCACCCTGCGTGGAGTAGTTCCGCAATCTCGTCTTCCATTTCTTCCTCCACAGCTGAAGACACGACGTCGCTGCCGTCGCTAGCCCCAGACTCAGAATTTATCTCAGGTGACGACTCCTCATCTTCCGACTCTGACAAGTCATCGGCCACCTTGAGCCGCATCGCAGCAGGAGATGACGGCTGCGATTCCGCCTCGCTGTCGACATCGATGTTGGAACCGAAGAACGTCTCATCCTCACTCTGAACTTCAGCGGCTACTTCAGCATCCGCTCCCCACCAGGCTCGAGCTAGCTGTAGAGAATGACTGCCGTGTGTGCTCTGCGAACAGCTCTGGCGTCCGCAGCCATCGCAACAAGATCAAGGAACATTCGAGTCGCCACTCGACACCACTTCTTCAAAATAAATTACTTCAACCAAGGAGTTCAAGAAGAACTCCTTGCGCTGTTTGCAGCGCGATCAAAAAATCGTTGAACGTCGCAAATCGACCATTTTCTCGAAAAAATTACGAAACCTCTAAGGGTCGTTTTCGCTGATCGCGGCTCACATAATGTTTCTTCTTTTCCATGTTGACCTCTAGTATGCATGGACACCTTGGTATGGAGATACTCGTGTCACATTTTGTTGTACGGTACTTGTGGCCACTTGCAAGTACGAAAAGGCACAAGTTTGAGGCTGCATAAGTACAACAAAGTGAATATGCATCCCCACGTTCCAAAGCATAAGATGAGGATAATGTGAGAATCCATGAAAGCATAATTCCATGATTTCGCGAGCATAACCCGCCGGAGCCTACCGCTCACGAGACAAGGATCATGAAGATGCTACACTATCCACTGGAACTGAAAGGAAATCTTATGCCAATCATCCACGGAGGAATCTTCTTCTGATCTTGCTCGACCATTCTTTCAATTGACAACTGATAACCATCAGAAGATGTTCATGTACTGCATGATGTAGGAGATCTCCAAATAGGTTCGTTGTTCTGGAAATGCGTAGGGGTACCTGGCATAAGTAGGATATGACCCTCGTAGTCGGGTTATACCGTACCCTCATATAAATCCCTCCTGCTATCGCAGTCGGGATTTATATTCAGCCGGTATAACCCTCTGACTCGGGTTATATCCTCTACATGTTACATATAACTTACTTGATCTGTCTGATGACAAAATTCGTACTCATCACAGTCAAGGTTATATCCTCTACGTATGCATCTATAATTCAGTAACCTTTTTTCGGGGCAAGTTGCCCCATTTTTGGCAGGTACAACTCGTCCTAGTGTATTTATGAGTATGACATTACAGGGTTCACGACCTTTTATGCGGAGCTGGTATCAAGGTGTGTGCGGTTGCATTGGACTTGCCCCGCAAAACCTAACGACGGGAAATTGATCAAGATTGTGGTATTTGTTTCGCTCTGCGATGACTGGAAGTGGGTGAAAACTTGAAAAGAAGGTGCCCAAAATTGTCCCGAAGTACCGAGTGACGTCACGCCGGACTTGACCTCCACGCGTACATTCGTCGTCAAAAACGAAGTCCAGCCCGTGCGCTGGTCGATCGAGCCAACTGCTCAATGTACGGTGCACGTGTGCCTTCTGAACTCGGACACTGATGTGTACGTTGTACACAATGAGAGCGCCAAAAAGGAGAAAAGAAAAGTTGAACAAGATTCAGTGCCTGGACAGTCCTCCCAAAGTGCTTCCCATTCCACCCCGTCCCCGAGACTCTAGCTGCTACCCCCCCCCCAAATCTAGCTGCTACCCCCCCCCCCCCCCACCCCAGAGACTCTAGCGGCTACCCCCCCCCCCCCCCCGAGAATCTAGCTGCTAGAAAGAAGAAACCTGCTCACGACAGCTCATACCTTTGCATGTGAGGCCGTGGAATCCACGCTTGCAAGCGCAGACGAAACTTCCCTTCTGGTTTGTACACTCCGTATTCGGTGCAGTGCACGCCAAACGCGTAAGACACTCATCAAAATCTGCAAGTACATCATCAAACAAACCCCACGCACAACCCCCCCCCCCCACACACACACACACCAAGCACATACACGCATACCAACACACACACCCGCACGCACACATGTACACAGGCACTGATAAAAGGCCCTTGGCGGGAATGTCGCTGATTGGTCGTTTCCTGGACAACGAGACAGACCTCGTTCTAATGGAATTTTAACCCTTTGCGTGCTGAGTACGAGTTAACTCGCACTTTATGCATGACCCGATCCACTACGTACGAGTTAACTCGCAAAAAATTCGCGCGATATATTGCAGTGCATAGACCAGTGTACAAACTTTCGTAACTTCGTCTAACATAAACGCATCGCGACAATCAATACACCGTTGGAAAGGTCTTGACCTCATCTTTTCAGGGATATAAAGTTCTTCTCGATAGGATAAGAATTCATTGAGCGGCGACAAGATGAACACGGAAATCACGGCACAGAGTGAACGCGAATTTTTTGTTCATGACTTCTTTTTGTTGAGGAGCGTGTCAGGGGATTTCCCTTTGGCACGGCGCATGCGTGATGGACATCAAATGGATTTTTATTATTCAAAATCGATCTTCGTGTTCCGCTCTTAAGTGAATGTTATCGAAACTGAGGGTAATGTATACAATAAAGAACTTTAGTGCGATACTACGACAAACATGGCGTTTCCGCAAGGTTTTGTTCAGAACAACTATCTGTTCACTATTGTATCTTCGCCCAAGGTATATAAAGAGTCGGCGTGGAGAAAGCAATTTTATGAGTGCAATAAAGAGTATAATAGATGCAGACATGGCCACAGTTCCGATAATATCCACTGAAGAGCGGAACATGAAAATCGATTTTGAATAGGTTGTTGCGGTTTACAAGAGCAAAGGCTCCAAGTCACAAGCCAGCAATTACCGTCCTATCTCCTTGTTGTCCTGTGTATCGAAACTATGTGAGCGATTATTCCTTGATAAGCTTTATGCTCATGTGTCGCCGGCCCTTGCCCCAGTCCAATCTGGTTTTCGACGAGGAGACTCAACCACCATGCAGCTGACACGCCTGGTGCAGGACATTGTGGCCCTTCGTCATGACCACCAACATGTTGGTATATGTTTTTTCGACCTAGCAAAGGCGTTTGACACGGTATGGTTCCGTGGACTCCCTAGCTAAATTATCTGCGATATACAATGTTCCCGGAGCGTCTCTGGCGTGGATTACGGACTACCTAACAGATAGAACGCAATCAGTGTCAGTCGAAGGGGTACTCTCAGACCCACTGCCTGTGAAGTCGGGAGTCCCCCAAGGGATCTATACTGGGGCCTCTACTATTCTTGTTGCATATACGATCTACCTGACTGTATAGATGGTTTGTCACCATTTGCTGATGACACAGCCCTCATTTAGTTTGACGCTGACATTGCAAACCTGTGTACGAAGTTTCAGAATGGAATCAATGTTGTTCATAAATGGATGTTGTCATGGCATCTGAAACCCAATATCTTGAAAACAGAAATAGTCTTTCTCCCTCAACTAGACCACCCTCCCACATTTACCCTTCCCGGACTTGATTCGGCTATTAATATTAATATTGTAGATACGCACAGGCATTTGGGTGTTGTATTTGACTCGCAATTGTCCTGGAATTCTCACGTAGATTTTGTTTGCAACAAAGTTAGCAAATCTGTAGGTTGCCTGATGTCTCACTGCTCCCACTTGTCCCCCGAATGTATTCGTCTTTTTTATAAATGCTACCTCCTTCCTATCTTTCTGTATGGCGCCACTACTTGGCATTCCCTGCTTAGTAAATCTGCTGTACAGACACTAGAAATACATCATAAAGATGTGTTGAAAATTATTTTTCGTAAACCCTCTCTTTTCCCCTCTACTGATCTATATAGTTTGGCCTCAACCAGCCCCATCTCTATCCTGTCGCAGAGACAGTCATGCGTTCTGGCCCATCGTATTAAACTGAACATTGTCCCTGAACATCTCACCAAGTATAATTATTGGTTTACTTTCGCACGGGACACTCGCAATGGCATAGTACTTCCCAGAGCTTTGTCAACTATGTTTACCAAATCTCCTATCTTCTCTGCATACTCGTATTCGCTCAAGCTGCCCATGGAAATGAAGACAATATCCAATATTAGACAGTTCATAGACCATGTTAAATGTTATGCCACGTTGTAGGCTCGCTCGCCTCTTTTCCTAGCTTATCTCGCCGCTCTCCACCATGGTCAACATAGTGATACATTTCACCCCGCTGATGCATTATTTTCTTCCGATTATCATCTTCTTTCCTTCTGTTGTGTATCGTGTCGGAGAAAGGTCTTCTGGGGTGTCGCTGAGATCTCGTTGCGACCGTGACTCCTGCTTGTCTCCCTGGCTAGGTGCTGCTTGCTTTGCTTTTTGCGTAGTGTTTTTGATTATTGTTTACTATTGCGTATTGTTAGTGTTCGTTGTGATTTGGTACAGTACTTGTTACGAGATACGACACATTGTGTAGTGTGTGTTTGCAGCACGAAGAAGACTGCACACCAGAACGGTTAGCTCAGGAGCTTGGGCTTACCTTGTGCAATCACAGTTCATCAGCTTGGACATTGCGCTTGGTCCCATGCGAATAACCGACTAGAATAGTAATTATTTCTTCGTTGCATTTTTGAATTGTGTTCTTGCTAGCTCGTTGATTTATTTAGTTGATGTGTTGATTTGTGGTTGATTACTTATTTATTTGATGCGCGATTTATGTGCGCTGATTGCGTGATGGCATGCAATTATGATCATGCTTGCGCCAGCTAGCTAGATGCCTGCGCCGCGCACTGATGTTGAATGAGTTAGTATGCGCCCCGCGCTGTTCATGCATATATGGTACATGGTGTGTAATGTTTGCCGCACACGCGTATACGTGCCTCGCCTCGTACTGCTTATGTGCCGCGCGCCGTACTATTGCTGTCGCTTTGCCGCCAAATTTAGCTTCCGCTTTCCGAGCGCTGTACGCTCTTCTGTACGCTCACGCCAAAGTTGGACGCACGTTGTGGCTGGCCAGCGCTTTACCCCTCATGCGTTGTTCTTTTCCTTGATGCTGTGGTTTGTTTTTCTTTAGTGTTCTAGAGTTCTCTTTCCGATGTAGTTCGTATTTTTCCAGTCTCTTCTTCTCAATGTATTCTACTGTTCATTCATTATAGTCCGTAAAGAATTACGTGACCTTTTGTCTTGTGGCATCTGTGCGATCCTGAAACTTTTGAGGTGTTAGTAGTGAACACAACACCTTCATTCTTTCTTTTTTTCTTCTCTTGCCATGGCTGGCTAACGCCCCGCCCCCTCCTTTGCATTGGCTTCTGCCACTGGACGGTGGAATAATAATAAATAATAATAATAAAAATCCTTTAAAATTCCATTAACTCGTTGTTGTCTGGCCATGTCTGCATCTTTTATACTCTAATATTGAGACGTTTTTTACTAGAGCCACGTAAACCAGTCATGTGTGAGCCATGAATGAGGGGAGTGGTGGCGTGGTCTGGGAGATAGCTCGTACATTTTGTCAGGGGTACATAAATTCAAAAGGTATTAGTATTTAAAGTACTGGCACCATTGGCAGTTTCGCTTTCCTCATCGGAGTCACCAATGACTTCCACCAAAGTAGACGGTTTATTCGAAGCCATTTTGCCACAAAGCAGCAGCAAAATGAAGCAAAAACATCGGAAACGGCAAGGAAATGCCAACCAAACTACAGATAGTAGTCGGGCAAAATTTTGCCGCAAAATATCGAAGCGCCCCGAGAAAATTTCGGCTAGGCCTGGGCCCATCCAAGCAGGGGTAGAGTGGAGTTGGAACGAACATGGCCAACACCATGTGACACATCCAAGTAGGAGTTGAGTGGAGTAGTCAATGCCCGATTTTGCCGGGGAAGCTTCTATATTTTGCTTTCATTTTGCGGGGCCACTCGATATTTTGCTCTCTGGATGGCAGTCGTGAGTCAGTCAAGTGTCAAGTCATCGGCGGAATAGCGCGAGCTCCAGTGTGGGAGCAAACCCATTCCTAAACAAAATCATCGCCGAAGTCGCAACCTCTATTTCGTACTGTTGTGCCCAGCGCGGGCATGGCGACTAGCTGGTTTGGAGGTGACAGCGTTGTGAATGACCGAGTGTTGTCTTCGTCTGTTCTCACCGTCCAGGAGCGATAATTGACTCACGCTGCTATCTGGTGTTCACGAGGTGTTTGTCGCACTAGAAACGGAGTGTCTCTGTAAGTTTGTATCCCTGGTGATGTTTGTGCCTGGACAGCACTATAATTATAGTGCCTGGACAGCACTATATAAGTGGTGCTCTTCAGGCACAATCTTCCTCAGCCTACTCAAGCTCAACTGATGAGGGTGAATTCCCCGAAACACTGTGTGTTGAGCAGGGAGTGGTGCTTTCTTGCAGGTTTTCCGAGTCGAAGGTTCGATGGACTTCTCGTGTTCTCTGGATGGCAGTCGTGAGTCAGTCAAGTGTCAAGTCGTCGGCGGAATAGCGCGAGCTCCAGTGTGGGAGCAAACCCATTCCTAAATTTTTATTTATTTATTTATTTATTTATTTATTCAACTGTATTTTTCAACATCATTCTTATGGCTTCCGATGGCAGCCAAAACGGGAAGATGTGGGTGATAGCCAACCATGGTAAAAGAAGGAGAAGATTATATACATGAAAACCTTTTTGCTTAAAATGTGAGGCAAAATCCGTGTCATGTGTGGGAAAACTGCCCGAAAGTGGGTCACGTGTCGGCAAATTTGAGAAAAAGTCACCCTGCTGTCACGTCACTCCTTGCGCCCTTGTCCGTAGAGGGCGTAGTTTCTGTTCTAGTTGGCTGTTGATCGTCTTGGTTTTTCAATAGTGGGCTTGGATGGTGGTTGAAATTGTTCAAGTAACGTGTCGTGTTTGGTGCGGCCAAGCTTGGTCGTTAATGTTCTAGGTGTAATGTACTGCTGTTATTTGTTATCACTTTGTCCTTCCTTCTTTCTTTCTCTTCTTTGTACATTTTTCAGTTGCAAGTTTATTGTTAGTACACGCATTCGTTATTGCTCTCGCTTTCATTGTTCAAATTCACACTTGTAAATTTCACTGCTGTTGTTCTTAGTGTTATTTCTCTAACTTAGATTTTCTATAAAAGTTCAATTTTTGGTTTCAAGTGTCCTTTAGTACAACGACTATTCCTGATGAGTGTTGTACGAAAACTTGTTTGAATCCTTATTTTCTCTACATCATTTCTTCACATTTTCCTCGTTTTATTGCACATCGTCTCCACAGTTTTACATTGCATGAACAAAGTGTACACAAATGTCGATTCAGCTTGTATTATTGATTGCGGTTATCAAATTATTATTGAATAGATTTTTGGTTGGAAGAAAGCAAATCAGCACACGAAGCACAAAAGCCATAAAAAAATTTCGACTAGGCCTTTCATTCCATTACTCTTCAGGTCGAATACAATGGTGATTAACAAGGTAGTAAGCAAGTCTTTATAACCGGCACTTTTGGCGAGCAGAGCATTGGCAAAAATAGCACTTGAAAAATAGCGCTAGTGGCAACTGTCTCATGACAGTTGCTGGTGGTTTGATCGGTGTTGATTTTCTTCTCCCTTTGTTAACGGAGACGGTCATGTTCTTGACTGCTCGGCTTCTCCCTGTCCTGACCGGTGTTGTTGTTGTTCCTGTACCTGTCCGTACGAGTTTGTTGGGGATGTGCTGCTCTATGCGCTCACCCAATCGTTGTGTTGTCCTGCCAATGTACCTGCGGTCACACTCACAGGTGAATAGATAAATGACATTACTTAAATACGTCATTGGCAGGACATCCTTGTTGGTGGTGGAAAACATCTTCCGGGTAGTGAGACAACAGATTGGGTAGCAGAGTGGAACATAGCGCTGGATAATTTTTTGAATTTTCTGCTTTAACATGGCCGACTGGTCGCCGAGCCACGGGAGTCGCAAGATAGCACGGTTCGACTTGTCCTCAGCTCTGGCGCTCATTGTCAGTGCCTGTGACATTACACGTTGAACTACATGGTCCGCGTCAGCGATATTGTCGCTTATCTTTCAGCTTTGTTTATATGTTATCAATGCTCACTTGGCAGCCCATTTCATCCCAATTTTGGTTAGCAAGTTAGTTTGCTAGTACCTGAAAGGTCTAGCTAGAGTTCGAGTGGATTTCGAGAGCGACAGGTGGGTGATTCTGATTGATACAGCGCCACATAAAATAGATTATCTTGTAACGCTGTGCAGGCAAGAGCAGCGCAAGCCACAAGAAAGTAATCGGCTACTCGGAATAGCTCCATTTTGCTGAACGGCTGAGATCGCTCACCTCAGGGATCGCTCATCAAGCTGAGATCGCAGCTCCCTTACCTCCAGCTCAACGCTCGGAGTATCCAGCGCGTTGTGGAGATTTGCAAGTACTGTACTCGTCGTCGTCGTCGTCGTTCAAAACAAAATCTTGCAAAGAACGGCGTCTGATTTGAACCACACAGGCAGTCGTGCTGCCCAAGCAAAGTCCACTAGAGAAGGTGACCGTCACGGTCGACTTCTCTTTAGAGAATGGCCAGGCAGCGGAGAGGAAGAGAGATGAGCTGGCAAAAGCAAGAGAGTCGATCCCGAGCAAAAATATTTGTCACCAGCGCCGACAGCAGGGACGAGGAGGACCAAAAAAGTAGGAACCCTTCCTTGGACAATAAATTCCTCGCAGCTAGTTGTCATTCAATACCTTACCGTCCATCGTACCAAGTTTTATCACTTCAAGTGCACACGTTCATGTCCAAAGTATAAGTTCAAATTGTCGAAAGATAAGTGACAATATTGCTGACGCGGACCAAGTAGATGCAGGGGATAGCCATTGCGGGAGAAGATGGACTCCAATTTTGAGATCTCTTTGTCAAGATGCTGTGGGGAACAGATACGCTGGGCACGAACTGTCAGCGACTTTATTAGGGCGATCTTCTGTCCGGTTGGGCCATAGCTGTCCCATCGCGCGTATAGTCCGGTGAAGGTGGGTTTGCTGTAGATTGCTGTACTGAAACTGTTTGAATGCCGTGTAACGAGGACATCCAGGAATGATAGTTGATTTTCAGTTTCTTTCTCCATAGTGAACTGGAGCGATGGATGGACAACGTTGAGCCGTTCAAGAAAGGTCAATGCATGATCCTGCTGGGTGAAGAATGAGAACGTGTCATCAACATATCGAGTGTAAAGTTCTGGCCAAAACTCATCTGGTGTTAGCATTTCAAAGTATCCAAGGAAGATATGGGCAAAGACGGGCCAAGGGGAGACCCCATGGCCACTCCGTCTGTCTGTTTGAACATTTTGTTATTGAAACTGAACCCAACGTCTCGTGTTGATTTGTACAGGAGCTTGCGTAGCACTAGCAAGGTCTCTTCAATCTCAGGAGGGTTGATTTGTACAGGAGCTTGCGTAGCAGGGTCTCTTCAATCTCAGGAGCGTTGATTTGTACAGGAGCTTGCGTAGCACTAGCAGGGTCTCTTCAATCTCAGGAGGGTTGATTTGTACAGGAGCTTGCGTAGCACTAGCAGAGTCTCTTCAATCTCAGGAGGGTTGATTTGTACAGGAGCTTGCGTAGCACTAGCAGGGTCTCTTCAATCTCAGGAGGGTTGATGCCACTGTGATATAGAGAGCTTTCAGGCAGATGTCAATTATTTCGATGATAGGTACATTCGTAAAGAGGCTGACTACATCATATTATGAGCACATGAACCCTTCACTACATCCTGAGTCGTACTGCTGGATGGATTTGGCAAATTCAAAGGAGTCCTGGACCACACGCGAAGAATACATGTCAAGGACTGGCTTAAGAATCTCTGCAAGCCACTTAGCCATTGCGTGTTGCGCGCTACCCACCATGGACAGTATGGGGCGGAGCGGAATAGGAGTAGGCTTGTGTGCTTTAGGCACTCCGTAGATGCGCGGTCTGACTGATCCGACAGGTCTGATGCGGCGGTAGACAGCCTCGCTGATTTTATTTTATTTGTACTGTCGTAGTAGAAAGGCCTGGAGGGCTCTTTCATTCAGGCCAGTTCGGTCATACTCGTCGCAACTACCAAGACACTGGAATTTGGATTGATCATCGAGAATGTGCATCATCCTGTCGATGTAATCGGATTTATTCATGAGCACGGCACCTGCGCCTTTGTCGGGTCTGCAAATGATGTCATCTCTATTGCGAAGTTCACGTATAGCGCTCATGTGCTCTCTGCCAAGCGGAAATGCTTTCTTGCTCTGCTCTATGTACCCACTCTAACTTCACACACCGTTCAAGCGCGTGCGCGCAACAAATCTCACCTTGCTGTGCTGGAGGCAGTGTACATTGCCAAGCTGAAGCCTGAACTGTGCGTGCAAAAAAAGTATGTGCGAAAGTTGTCACTGTTTTGACATTGTAGTACCGTGCTCCCCACTGTTGTCTGATACTGGTAATATTCATTGTCTCACTGTGTACTTGGCGCCACTAGCGCTATCTTTTAAAGTGCTATTTGGTCTATGCTCTGACCGCCAAATACGCTGTTGGCACCACTAGTGCTATTTTCAAGTGCTATTTTTGTCAATGCTCTGACCGCCAAAAGTGCCGGTTATAAGGACTTGCTTACTATCTTGTTAATCACCATTGTATTCGACCTGAGGAGTAATGGAATGAAAGGCCCAGTCGAAAAAATTATATGGCTTCTGTGCTTCGTGTGCAAATTATTATTATTATTATTATTATTATTATTTGAACAAACGGCGAGGAGACAACAATTTAATAACTGCAATCAGTAATACAAGGTGGATCGACATTTGTGTACACTTTATTCATGTAATGTAAAACAGTTCTTAGTGTTATTTCTCTAACTTAGATTTTCTATAATAGTTCAATAATGTTTTCAGTGTCCTTTGGTACAACGAAGATTCCTGATGAGTGTTGTACGAAACTTGTTTGAATCCCTTTTTTCTCTACACAATTTCTTCACATTTTCATCGTTCTATTGCACATTGTCTCCACAATTTTACATTACATGAATAAAGTGTACACAAATGTCGATCCAGCTTGTATTATTGATTGCGGTTATCAAATTATTATTTTAGAATTGCGATCAACAGAACGAGCTGAACCGACATTTCACAAATGTTCAAAAAAGGTTCAGCTCGTTCTGTTGATCGCAATTCTAAAACTATTGTCGCCTCGACGCCTATTTACAAATTGTTATTGTTATTATTTATTATTATTTGCCTCTCCGCGTTTGCATCAGGGTGTGGTACTACAAAAATTAACAAATCGACATAGTACACATCCAGCGCTAGCATTCGCTCAGGCCGCGCAGGTCATGTGCTACATACATGTGCACCACCCCTGTATACGACTTACCAATGCATCCACGTCTGTTTGAAATTGTGAATCCAGGTTTGCAAGGACAGCTGTAGCCGCCGATTGTATTTTGGCAGTATGTTTCACCCCAGCAGTTATGTTGTCCACGTTGACATTCGTCGACATCTGAAGCGTGACGCAACACACATACATGCGTGCAACAATGACTAGCAGCGAGCCCCCGAAAGGGAATTTCCCTAGCTCGTATGTTTTTCTTGCGTTCGTCAGGAGGCCAACATGTAACCGCCTGTCAGACTTTGCGGCAAAGGCGGAAAGGAGAGGAGAGGAGGGGGGGGGGGAGGGGGGAGGAAGGGAGGGGGATTTAAGACTAGGGACGCGGGGCATCAACGGGCACTGGTGCGGTTTGTGCGCAGGGCCCCTCCGCACCCTTGGACGATACTGTATAGCAGGAAAATTTCGGACGGAATTTATTCTCGTTCCATTTCGTACACGGCCTCTTTTGTACTAAAATTAATTCCGTGGTAAAATTTGTTCACGCGAAAATATGTACACTATACTTGTGTGCTGCTAGCGAACACGTGAGTTTAGCATGCAGCACTGTACGAAAATATTATCCGTACGCAAGGTGGAAATTCGTCTTTGTCCGAAATTATTTCCGTCCGAACATATCCTGCTGCACAGTATTGGCCGCAGAAACAGGTCTCAGGGAGAATAATGTGCAGGTGTAGCAGGGAAAAGACCGGGACGGGGCCCACTCGTAAGACGTGTTTGGCCATCGCCGCGCCAGTTCTTAACCAAGTCCAGCGGTCATGAAATATTCAGCGCACAATTTCAAATGATGTGCAGCTACTAGTACCCCAGCATCATGTGAACTCCGTTGCTAGAGTCTCTCCCTCCTAAACTGTGCTTTTTGTCCTGAGAGAAACACAACTGAAAGAGTTCGAACAACTTGTACTTACTTAATATTTGTAACATGGAAATGGTGGAATGTCTCAGTACTCCTTGTCAGTTTTGTGCTAGATTGTGCACGTCTGACTGTTCAAAATCTGGTTTAGTCGGTGGACTCGATCGCATAATGTGTGCCCACAATTTCCATGTTACAATTTTTTCTTCCTTCTTCCTCACCGTCTGTGTCTTTAACGTACTTATTACTTGTTTTAATTTAGTTGTCAAACCCTTACTGGCTTCTGGAGGGGTACTGACTTTTGGCCACACGCTAACCTTTGCACCTGACTTAGGTGTAATGGAGACGTCTGTTGTCATGTAGATATGCGTGCTATGCGCTGGATATGCGTGTTGTAATTGTAACACCATGTTGTTATGGTAACAGCATGTTGTTATGGTAACCGTACTTCTCCATCACTGCGTCAGCTCAAACGGCACCGCTGGACTGCCTTTTTTTACACTCTTTTTATTGTAACAAGCAGGACCGCGGAAAACGACTACATCTTGACAAGACGACAGGCCAAAGACCAGCTCACACAGTTTCGCGCATGCGCACACCACCACCAACCAATGGCGCATGTGCACAGCGACCAAGACGACACAAACACGTGACACAACATCTAGCACATGCGAATCGTACCGGTACATATTTCGGGCGGTATGTTTATCGGGCCTATTAAACTTGACTCCAGCAGACTTAGTCAAAAGGATGAAGGGGGTGTTTATTTTGGGCAGGCATTCACGGACCTTTATGGTGTCCGCGTCAACTCCTTGCTAGAGTCTCCCACTCCTAAACTGTGCTGCTTCTTGCCAAGAGAGGAACACTATACTAGCTGCATTTCCGTTGCTACAGGATTGTATGGCTGAATCGGTCTGATATGCTGCAGAGAGCACAAGATATGTGTATCAATGGTGTTTTAAAGCCAGGCTTATTCCCGTAGAAGCCGATGCCAGGGCTAGGCTTCTATTCACACCAGGCTTCCATTCAAACCACGTATTCGTCTATGTGTGCGTCAACACTAAAACCAAGCTCAGCATGCATCTACAGAAGAACGCATCACCAGCCGAGTAGGACATGCCTCGCAAGTATTGGGTGTTTTCGGTCCCTTTTTTTCTTTTTCAAAAACACCACAGTATTCATTGCAATCGTTCTACAGGTACATTAAGCTTGCTGATATTCCTTGTTTTACTCATTGACTTGCTCACTCCCAAGTTTCCTATTCGCCGTGCTATTTCTCCTTCTCTGCTCACTTTGTATTCTCATATCCCCATCCTAACTCTACAGAATGGAGATCACCTCGATAGGCCTAAACGGCCTCTGGGGGAATCCTTTAAAAAAACATATATATACTCAATCTGCGGACAGCATGCTGTTTCGTTCTTTTTGAACTCATCAGCGCAGCACAGAGAAAATGAGGCCGAACCTGATAGCAATGGAAATAAAAATTTCCAATCAGGCCCGAACGTACCTTGCCAGAGTGCTCAAACTGACAAGTCAGTGAGCTCTGCACAATGCAAACAGCAAAGGCACTACCCCACGCAAGAGTGCTCAACTGCTACAAGAGCAGGAGCGAAATACTCATATATATATATATATATAGATTGAGTATTTCGCTCCTGCTCTTGTAGCAGTTGAGCACTCTTGCGTGGGGTAGTGCCTTTGCTGTTTGCGTTATGCAGAGCTCACTGACTTGTCAGTTTGAGCACTCTGGCAAGGTACGTTCGGGCCTGATTGGAAATTTTTATTTCCATTGCTATCAGGTTCGGCCTCATTTCCTCTGTGCTGCGCTGATGAGTTCACAAAGAACGAAACAGCATGCTGTCCGCAGATTGAGTATTTCGCTCCTGCTCTTGTAGCAGTTGAGCACTCTTGCGTGGGGTAGTGCCTTTGCTGTTTGCGTTATGCAGAGCTCACTGACTTGTCAGTTTGAGCACTCTGGCAAGGTACGTTCGGGCCTGATTGGAAATTTTTATTTCCATTGCTATCAGGTTCGGCCTCATTTCCTCTGTGCTGCGCTGATGAGTTCACAAAGAACGAAACAGCATGCTGTCCGCAGATTGAGTATTTCGCTCCTGCTCTTGTAGCAGTTGAGCACTCTTGCGTGGGGTAGTGCCTTTGCTGTTTGCGTTATGCAGAGCTCACTGACTTGTCAGTTTGAGCACTCTGGCAAGGTACGTTCGGGCCTGATTGGAAATTTTTATTTCCATTGCTATCAGGTTCGGCCTCATTTCCTCTGTGCTGCGCTGATGAGTTCACAAAGAACGAAACAGCATGCTGTCCGCAGATTGAGTATTTCGCTCCTGCTCTTGTAGCAGTTGAGCACTCTTGCGTGGGGTAGTGCCTTTGCTGTTTGCGTTATGCAGAGCTCACTGACTTGTCAGTTTGAGCACTCTGGCAAGGTACGTTCGGGCCTGATTGGAAATTTTTATTTCCATTGCTATCAGGTTCGGCCTCATTTCCTCTGTGCTGCGCTGATGAGTTCACAAAGAACGAAACAGCATGCTGTCCGCAGATTGAGTATTTCGCTCCTGCTCTTGTAGCAGTTGAGCACTCTTGCGTGGGGTAGTGCCTTTGCTGTTTGCGTTATGCAGAGCTCACTGACTTGTCAGTTTGAGCACTCTGGCAAGGTACATTCGGGCCTGATTGGAATTTTTATTTCCATTGCTATCAGGTTCGGCCTCATTTCCTCTGTGCTGCGCTGATGAGTTCACAAAGAACGAAACAGCATGCTGTCCGCAGATTGAGTATTTCGCTCCTGCTCTTGTAGCAGTTGAGCACTCTTGCGTGGGGTAGTGCCTTTGCTGTTTGCGTTATGCAGAGCTCACTGACTTGTCAGTTTGAGCACTCTGGCAAGGTACATTCGGGCCTGATTGGAAATTTTTATTTCCATTGCTATCAGGTTCGGCCTCATTTCCTCTGTGCTGCGCTGATGAGTTCACAAAGAACGAAACAGCATGCTGTCCGCAGATTGAGTATTTCGCTCCTGCTCTTGTAGCAGTTGAGCACTCTTGCGTGGGGTAGTGCCTTTGCTGTTTGCGTTATGCAGAGCTCACTGACTTGTCAGTTTGAGCACTCTGGCAAGGTACGTTCGGGCCTGATTGGAAATTTTTATTTCCATTGCTATCAGGTTCGGCCTCATTTCCTCTGTGCTGCGCTGATGAGTTCACAAAGAACGAAACAGCATGCTGTCCGCAGATTGAGTATTTCGCTCCTGCTCTTGTAGCAGTTGAGCACTCTTGCGTGGGGTAGTGCCTTTGCTGTTTGCGTTATGCAGAGCTCACTGACTTGTCAGTTTGAGCACTCTGGCAAGGTACGTTCGGGCCTGATTGGAAATTTTTATTTCCATTGCTATCAGGTTCGGCCTCATTTCCTCTGTGCTGCGCTGATGAGTTCACAAAGAACGAAACAGCATGCTGTCCGCAGATTGAGTATTTCGCTCCTGCTCTTGTAGCAGTTGAGCACTCTTGCGTGGGGTAGTGCCTTTGCTGTTTGCGTTATGCAGAGCTCACTGACTTGTCAGTTTGAGCACTCTGGCAAGGTACGTTCGGGCCTGATTGGAAATTTTTATTTCCATTGCTATCAGGTTCGGCCTCATTTCCTCTGTGCTGCGCTGATGAGTTCACAAAGAACGAAACAGCATGCTGTCCGCAGATTGAGTATTTCGCTCCTGCTCTTGTAGCAGTTGAGCACTCTTGCGTGGGGTAGTGCCTTTGCTGTTTGCGTTATGCAGAGCTCACTGACTTGTCAGTTTGAGCACTCTGGCAAGGTACGTTCGGGCCTGATTGGAAATTTTTATTTCCATTGCTATCAGGTTCGGCCTCATTTCCTCTGTGCTGCGCTGATGAGTTCACAAAGAACGAAACAGCATGCTGTCCGCAGATTGAGTATTTCGCTCCTGCTCTTGTAGCAGTTGAGCACTCTTGCGTGGGGTAGTGCCTTTGCTGTTTGCGTTATGCAGAGCTCACTGACTTGTCAGTTTGAGCACTCTGGCAAGGTACGTTCGGGCCTGATTGGAAATTTTTATTTCCATTGCTATCAGGTTCGGCCTCATTTCCTCTGTGCTGCGCTGATGAGTTCACAAAGAACGAAACAGCATGCTGTCCGCAGATTGAGTATATATATATATATATATATGAAGTTGATTGTTCCAACTAATATACAAATATATTATACAGTATACCGACATATCTGCAGTGCACTTCCCTGTCCGTAGCACAATGACCCTCAGAACTACAGATAGTGAAAACCAAAAAAAAATGGTTCTCACTATCGGGGACAAAATATTTATACAAAAGCCGGAGAAAGACCAAGGAACTACAAGTTACGCTATACTGTCCACTAACACCACCAGTTACTAAACAATCAGCTCATGCGATAACATTGCACGACACTGACCGATGGTACTGACATTCTCCTTCTAACTAGCTAGCAGCTCTAGCACATCTTGGATGCGCACTCCAACAGCCTTCCAACTTGGAAGGTTCTAAGTTATAGAAATAATGCAATGTTATAGCATGAGCTGATTGTTTAGTAACTGGCGGTGTTAGTGGAGAGTATAGCGTAACTTGTATCCTTGGCCTTTCTCTTTTGTATAAATTAAACCTTGGCTTTCCATCTGAAAAAATAATATTTAATATCCAAACAATTTTTTTCTCCGGCCGACCGAGTCAGCTTTTCCTGCGGGGGGGGGGGGGGGGGGGGGGTTGCGGACCTGAGGGAAACAAGCTTATTTCCGGCACGTAACAGGTACTAGGTAGCAATTTGTATAAGACAGTTTTAATAAATTTCGGTCAGAACACTATTTGGTGCAGTCATGTCCCCTGCTGGAGCGGTGTTCAGTGCACTGTTTGGTGCAGTCATGTCCCCTGCTGGAGCGGTGTTCAGTGCACTATTTGGTGCAGTCATGTCCCCTGCTGGAGCGGTGTTCAGTGCACTATTTGGTGCAGTCATGTCCCCTGCTGGAGCGGTGTTCAGTGCACTGTTTGGTGCAGTCATGTCCCCTGCTGGAGCGCTGTTCCATGCACTGTTTGGTGCAGTCATGTCCCCTGCTGGAGCGGTGTTCCGTGCACTGTTTGGTGCAGTCATGTCCCCTGCTGGAGCGGTGAATCAGATTTGTTCATCCACCACCAGTGGCCACATAGGCAACGTGTGCGTAACGCCACCATCCTGTGGGCATGCACATTTCCGGAAGCGTTCAAATTTCAAATTTCGGCCTTCCCGGGGCTAAAACCCATGTCGACCGCATCAAATGCTCGGCCTGTACTGCTGCCGCCTGCATGCACTGTCACACTGAACCTTGCAAAACAAAATTTCTGCAGCCACACATTCTCGGCCAAACCTGGCCACTCCGAAAATAGCCGAAAATAAATATGCGAGTGGATATTAATTTTTTATTTTGTTGACTTACTGTGCTGAGTCTGAGCAAGTGCAATCAAGGCGTGTTTGCTCCTTCTCAAAGTTTCATGCTCTCGCAATCACCAAGGCAACATGCCCTCCCTGCTAGCATTCGTGACGTCTCCTCCTGACCTGCTTTCAAACAAGAAATCTGCTCACTCGGCTGATTAACTCAATCTGCTCCTGCAGCGCTCACCCTCTCCCATACTTGTAAAGTTCAAAGTGATGTAAATCACTTTCCAACTGTTCAACCCACAGCATCTCACCTTCTCATAAATTTATCTCTTATTGGCGATGGTGCCATCGTGAGAATAAAAGATTTCAAACACGAGTCAACTTGAGGATGCCACTGGCCAGGCCGGTATACTCCTCTAAGTCAACAAATTAATATTCGGCGCGTGCGCCGGTGCCCTTCAAGGGGGAGGGAGGGGTGTCCGCCGGGGGAAATTTCAAAAAAATGAAGCAAAATCCTGCATTTTGCCTCGGAGCGAAAAAAGGGGGGGGGGTTCCGGGCACCCTGGAAACAATACGGGGCACGCGCGTGATATTTATTTTCGGCTATTTCGGCCTGGGCTTTTCGTGGCCGAGAATTTGTTGCGGCCGGAATTTTGTTCTGCGAGGTTCAGTGTGACAGTGTATACAGGCGGCAGCAGTACAGGCCGAAAATTTGATGCGGCCGAAATCCCAGGGAAGCTGAAAATTGAATGGGCCAAAAATTTGTATACACCCAGTATATGCCAGGGGAGGGCGGGTCTTTGTAGCGTTGTGTGACCACCGGCATATCATAGTACCCCGGTTCATAATGGGCCCAGTGCATCGTGCACACACACACACATGCATGGACGTACATGCACACACATGCATGCACCCCCCCCCCCCCCCACCCCCTCCCCCCCCCCCCCCTACACACACACATACATCAAGAGTACATAACCACCCAGAGTGTGCAACACCTGATCCAGCTCTGCATAGGGTCTTGGTCGAGCGGAATCGAATCTTTGCGTCATAATACCGTACACATCTGACGGGAACCCGGGGAGTCGCAGGTACTCTCGGATCAAGAACAATGGTGCCCTGCCTCGAGACCGGCCTTGCGCTGGTGTGGAGTGTACGCATGACATCAGAAGATCCGATTCCGCTCGACCAAGACCCTGGGCAGAGCTGGATCGGAGTTGCACACTCTGGGCGGTTATGTACTCTTAATACATGCACACACACATGCACGCACATGCACACACACGTACACACACACGTACACACGCTCACATTCGCCCCAGGAAAGGCTTTATTTCAAGTTATTTTCAACCATCCCGATTCTACAAACTAACCAAAGCATTGACCTCCAGTAGGGCTAAAGTCATACCCAACAGAGCATCTGCAAGAGAATGAGCCGAAGTTGTTTCTGCACTCCAAATTACTGGGACAGCCATGAGTAGCACCAAGACATTCGTCATCATCTGACAACACACCAAAGAACAGACAGTCCCAGGTGACGTGTACTGAACAGCCCCTATACACATTTACGTCGGGTACGAAATCCCGTTGAATCTCTTAGACCCGGCTGGGTGCCGAATGTGCAGGACGCTATTGCATTATCAGTGGTTTCGAGTACGAAACGTTCCCTTCAGGCATTTCACGCAACCATTAATTTTTTTCGAACGAAGATTTAGCTAGCCATTAGTTCTATCCAAACTGACGAAGCTGGAAAAAGCGACTGTCTGCCACTAGGTATTGGGCTGAATTGGTCAAATCGCCCCCTCCTTTGCATTGTCTTCTGCCATTGCACGGTGAAATAAAATAAAAAATAAAATAAATCAGGCACAGTAGGTTGGTCAAAGACCATGATTGAGATACAAGAGGTACCTGGTTCAAGTCCTGCCTGGGAGCGGTTTTTCCAGCCGTGCTGCTACCCACAGTCAACTGGGAACGTGTGGCCAGGCGGTGTGCACGGATGCGGCTAGTGGGGTTTCTCGGCACTTGTGCCAGTGGTTGTGAGACTTATCCACTCACCCCTACCGTTAGGCACTGCATCTGCCGCTTGGGTTAACCGGGTGCTAGCGGCCGTCGTGAGTTCCCTTCGGGAACGGACACGATAAATTACTTTTTTAATTTTGTTAATTGGTCATATGTGCATGTTAGAACACGCACTGAATACCCAAACGTGCATGCACACACCAACCGCATTTACCCGATTGCAAGTCGCCCTTCTTACACAAAGCTTCATGGGCAAAGAAGGGGTTTTCAATATTATTAAACAAACTTGCGACTTACAATCGAGTATATGAAAACCTACTTACGGGAATATTATATATATTTTTTAAACACAGTGGGGCTAAACCTGAAAATGGGTGCGACGAATAACCAAATACGACCCACCTGCCGCCTGCACCCTGGTACCTGCACACCTACCAAATATGCAGGTTTGCCCGGGACAGTCCCGATATCGAGGGTGGTAGTAGGCACCCAAAAGTGCAGTAGTCGCATGCATCACAGCTATGTTTGTACACCTGTTCATACCCAGGTATGTCATTGTGCCGATCTCAGGTTTTCAAAGGTTGGCAGGCATGCATCTGGTGCCGTCAAGCGAGACTGCAACCAAGGATTGGCGGACAACGGCCGACGTGCTGATCACTTGCAACATTGTGACCTGTGGAATTTTTTCAACGGCTCGCACCGCACACGCCCCGTGGAATTCATGGACAGGGAGAACTTTGTTTCGGTGTTGCCATGCCCCTGTCAAACATATCGGCCTAAAGCTGCCTCATGCACACACACGCATACACACACACGCACACACATGCACACACACACACACACACACACACACACACACACACACACACACACACACACACACACACACACACACACACACACACACACACACACACACACACATGCGTGCATGCATGCACACCCGCACATGCACACACACACACACACACACACACACACACACACACACACACACACACACGCACGCACGCACGCACGCACGCATGCACGCACACACACACACACACACACACACACACACACAGACGCACGCGCACACAGACGCACGCGCACACACGAACACGAACACATGCACATGCACACGCACAGACACACACACACACACACACACACACACACACACACACACACACACCTGCCCTGCTTCACACTGATGGTGGCCCCGGCACGGCAACTTGGTGACCATTTCACCAGCTCATTTATCAAGTACAGCAGATTACATTGAGCTGTACGGTGATCTCATCGTTTATTAGTTATGGAGGAAAACAGATGAACATCTATGTAATAATAGTATTCCCGTAGCTATGCAGAAGACGTTACTTCAGTAACGTCTGGCGCTAGCCAGGGTCCACACAGCTTTAATTTGGTATTTGTTTGTTTGTGTGTTTGTTTGTTTGTTTGTGTCACGCCTGGCGCTATCCCGTATCTGACGGCAAAAATAGAATTTGTAACATCCCTATGCTTTTTTTTTTGTCTAGGTCATCAAGGCAAAAAAGCATAGCGTAGGGCCCTGAGCTTCCAAGCTCTCTCGTTACTCGTTCAAACAAAAAGGAACTCAGTAGGGGATGGTGGAAGATCAAGGCGTACTAGTATGTGGTGAAGATACGGCGCATTTGAGTTGAGTGACCCTGGCGTGCAAATGGCTGCAATCGACTCTGCAAGTACAGCGCGGCCCAGAGAAATCCTGCCACCAGCGTCGCTCAAGCTTGCGCCTTGCACCGTTCCCCAGCCCAGCGCCTCTCCATGTGCAGGGCTGCGCAACGTCCGGGGCGTACCTGAGTGACGCTGTGACTTGAGTGACGCGGCTGCATTTCACTGAGCAAACACTGTATGAAGAAAAAACAAACATCGCAAGGGCTTGTTATATAGCAAAGCCCAGACATACCCTTACCTACGCAGCCAACTTTTGTATGTGCCCTATATCCAGTTGGACAGGCCGTAGAGTCGCTGTTGTTTTTAACGCAATGGGCTGTTGTACGGTCGCTGTGCAAGCATTTATGGCCTTCTGGACATCTATCTTGACAAACCCTAGGATCTGCAGGAAGAAACAGAGACGTACAGAAACAGATATGGGTCCGACTTCTAGCCTTATCACACGACAGTACGTGCTCGCGGTTGCACGATGCCATGGTTCTACGATACGCGGCATGACACTCCACACGACGACTAGCTCAGCAGACACAGCGCATGCAGCATAATACACGATTGTGACAAGCCAGTTCATGAATTGCCGACACCGCGCATACAAGCCGCAGTTCACGAAACGCCAAACCGAAATCGAAAACGCACAGCTAGGGGGTCAGGGTGTTGCCTGCTACGATCTCGCGGGCTACGGGCCTACGACTCAAGATTTCAAATAAATCGATGATCACCCTGGTGATCCAGTCGTGAGGCAGAGAATCCGTGATATTCTCCTAGCGTGTGAAAAGCCTATCAAATTGGCTTCCAGTGTTAAAGTTTACAGTTGCAACATGTAGGCTTCGTCAACTTTAACTCGGATACTGAGCCATAACTAAAAAAACAGAAGGTTGAACTCGGATGGTGAGCCAAATAAGTTACGGTGAAAAGGGAGAAGGACAAAATGTTACGAGTTATGACTAACTGTAAACCAACGTAACCAGATCGTATACAGTCAGCGCAGGGGCGTAGCACCCGCTACGACTGGTACTGTCGTACTGGGTACTGTACTCGACTCGACTGCACACTGCGCCAGAAGTGTGCAGAAGTTCCCAGAACGCAGGATTTTGTGTCTTTTTCACAAAATTTTCCCGGGGGAGGTCCTCTGGACCCCCCTCCAACACGGCCTTCGGCCGCACCGACCTTCGGCCGCACCGACCTTCGGTCGTACCACTTCCAAAACCCCTCCTACGCACCTGCAGCGAGTGCGACAAAATGGCACAAAACTGACTAGGAGTACTGAGACATTCAGCGACCTGCCCTTTAGCTCCAACACTTCTCCAAGGTGCAAACCAACAACCTTCCAACTTGGAAAGCTCAGGTTCAGAAAGGTCCAAGAGGGGAAGGAAAGCGCAACGAAGAAGAGCACGAGCTATGCCCACGGCAACAAAGAATGCTGAAAGTTACTGGATGATGACAAAACTAGTAAGACTATTGCACATACTGGACTTACTACAACTCGACGACGCAAAGCAACAGACCACCCAACTTGGGAGGCTCAAGTTTGTGTGATCAACATAGAAAGGGGAAGCTAAGCGAAGACGAGTTGTGACAAACCGAACCGTCAACATCCTACTGAACTTCACTATCATGTACATGTCTGATGGACTAGTTATGTACAATAACATGTAGTTCCACACAATGTAAGTTTTGCCGTATAGGTCCTGACGGCATGAACGTGAGCCTTCCAAGTTGGAAGGTTGTTGGTTTGCGCCTTGGAGAAGTGTTGGAGCTAGGTGTCAGGTCGCCGACTGTCTCAGTACTCCTTGTCAGTTTTGTGCCATTTTGTCGCACTCGCTGACTGTATAAGATCTGGTTACAGTGGTGGATAGTTAGCCATAACTCATAACATTTTGTCCTTCTCCTTTTTCACCATAAAAATTGAAGGAGTCAACTTTGCGAATAACAAAACTCGGCGGGGTATCAGAAAAGTTTCCTAATACGTGAAGTGTCCATACCGTATTTTTCCTAATAAGAGCCCGGGATTCTTATTTTTTCAGTGACAGCTCTCCCCCGCGCTACTATTAGAGACTGTGCTTTTATTCGGGACTGTGCTTTTGTGTGCACGGGAAATAAATTGAAAAATCAGCCTTTTGGAGCCATCTACCGAAACATGTACATGAATATGATCAGGGAATAATTTAACCGGTATCGCATCGCAGCTTGCCGCTCAATTCTTCTGAGGTGCGAAGTAACTTCAGAAATATGTTGCAGAAAACTGCGATGCACGTTGATATTCCACTTTACCCCATGATGCACAGTGTACATGCCAGGTGTGTCTCTTAGGAATGAAAATTAATAGATGCACAAAGCTTCAAGTGTTGAGCTATGCATTCTGGCACTCGTTTAGGTTTGCAACTTTTAAGTTGCAAACCTAAAATTGTTACAGTGTACTTGTGGTCTGAGCTTGCGCTCTGATTAGCTCTGGAGAAAGACAATGTTGTCAAGTGTTGAAGAAAATTGCTACGCAACATTTTCGAATTGCTATTCAAATTCGACTCTGTGTAGCAAAGTTGCTATGCAAAACATTGAAAGTGAATTATTCCCTGAAATCATATCGCTATTCGCGATTTGTCGTTACTCAGATAGTCATCCAAGTCGAATGCATACAGATAGATGGGACTTTGCTCTGGGCATGGAAATTCTGTCGTTATTCGCGAGCACGTCGTGTGCTTCGGATGGCAGTCGTGAGTCAGTCAAGTGTCAAGTTCGGCAAGAAGCGTGTGTTCCTAGTTGGAGCAACCAACTTCATGACTAGTCGCGAATAGTCGCTATATCCGCAGTCGTTATTAGCAAAATTGACTGTATTTTAATTAGGAGCAAAAACTAGTCGTTTAGGGGGAGGGGCGAGCACTTGTTCGTTTCTCCAAAAATATCGATGCACAGTCTGTATGTGAGAGCACGTCCAGGAAAAAACTCAAAAATATCGATACCATAATAATCTGTATGTGTTCACTTTTCAAGGAGGGGGAGGGGGAGGGAAGGGGGGGGGAGGGGGAGGGGAGGGATTGAAGAGAAAGGACAAGTTTTCGTTTCTAAAATAAATATCGGTATTTACGGATGGCCCCTAAAAAGACCGTTTTATAGTTTGAAGCTAGGAAGTGAAGTCTTGCAAATGTGTAGTGGCTGCGTTGGATTTTGCGGACAAGTAGAAATAATCTGAAACTGCTCAAGTGTTGTTTTGTTTGTTGTCTCGGTTTTTGTTGTTGTTTTTTTATTACAAAATACACAACTCACCAGCAAGCACATGGGACCATCATGGGGTGAGATGGTGCTGGTGGGGCTTGCCATGCTCAACCGACCAGAGGTCTCGGCATCTTCACATGGTTGTTTAACACTGATTGGTAGTCCCTGCCCATCCAAATGTTGCTGTTTTCGGTTTGCCTCTTCTCACCGTCAGTGTTAGAAAATAAGAAAACCGTGTCTTGGTTTGGAGCTCAGTACTCAGTACTCAGAGCTATTGTGATTGGTGACAAGCAGTCGCCCGTGAGTCGGCGAGTGAATTTTTGCGAACAAAATCGGTCAATGGGACGTATACAAGCATCACAATGATGTAATTCCTTCGTGCAGGGTGGGCCAAGAACGATTTCAGTAAACGAAAAATGGTGTACAATGCGAACACAGCATCACTGTGATTTGCAACATGACCTAGAACAGGATTCACCAGAACAGTACGTTTGGTTGGGACTGCACTTGTTCCGGGTCGGCCAGGACATGTTCTGCTTGCTGTGGTCTCGAGGCCGGAGCAGACCGAGCAGTTTCACTTTTTCACAGTGAAACCTGGCGGGAACATTGACTTAGGTCCCAAATGATCACATGCATAATTATGCTTTTGGGTCGAACTCGTTGTACCGTACAAAGTGACCATGGCGACCCATACACATTTTGAAGAATGCACCAAGTTTGGGACATTTTTTTCACAAAAGTGTGCTCTATTTCTGGAGTACAGTTTGGTTGGCATGAGGCTGCTCCACGCGCACCAGATGTCCGATCCTGTTCTAGATCGTACCAACCAAACACATCCTGGATAGTTTACCCCCAAATTGCATTAACGTTACTTCACATAAAAGCCCATGACGTCTTAGTTCTTTATTCTGGTATTGTGTGTATTGTAGGGGTGAAACGAAGGTGTCAAAGGTTCGAAGAACCTTCGTTTTAATTTGAAACAAACCTTCGTTTTCAATTCAAAAGAAGGTCAACACACGATTTCTGCACACACAAGCACATACATGCACTGATCTTCCTTGTATACAGGAGGAACTGTACTGTAGTTTGTACAGTCGACTAGTTTTGTGTTCACTTGGCTCCCGGTAGGTGCCACTGCAAGTCCATAGTAGGCCACGGACTGCGCTTGAGCGTGGCCATTCGCGGCCTAGGTGTGCAGAAGTAGTCTTGGGCAGTTTAGGGTGCAAACTGCGCACTGCAAAAGCTATGGGCGTGTGACTGCACATCAAATATGTGCACAGTCATGTACTTTGTAGGGCACATGCACAAAGCGTGCTTCAAGAGGAACTGTGAACTGGTAAAAGAATCATTCGACACCTTCGTTCGTTTCCATGAAGAAGGTTCGTTTGGCAAATTGAGACCTTCGTTTCACCCCTAGTGTATTGCTTTGTGCATCAGTTCCGCTAAGATCACATGGTAGTGACGGGTGGAAGACGTGGTGCAGCGGAGTGCGGCCGAAAGCTCGGTCGCAATATTTAAATCTTCAGGGCATGAACATAATTAGCTGACCGCCGGAGGACAACAAGGAGGCTTCGAGCCGGAATCACCCTTGTAAGGACTTACCCACGCATCTTTTCAGGATTTCGTCAAAAGGTTTGCCCGGTGAGCATCGGCAATTGTAAGATCCGATTGTGTTCACACACTGTTCGGTTTCCGAATAACAATGATGCGAAGTAGTACATTCATCCGCGTCTGTGAAAACACATAACCACCGTGTGTGTGTGTATATGTCAGTACCAATACACATAACGGAGCATTCAATCTCACCACCGCCTCTCCTCTCCTCCCAGAAGAGTATACCCCCTCCTTCCTCCAGGAGAGCATACCCTGCCCCTCCTTCCCCAGAAGAGTATCCCCCCCCCGCTCCTTCCCCCAGACGAGTATAGCAGGACATCTTCGGACAGGATAATTTTTCGGACAAAGCCAAATTTCGACCTTTCGCACGGATTTTATTTTCGTACAGTGCTACATTCTAAATACACGTGTTCGCAAGGAGTATGCATGTATAGTGTACATTATTTTCACATGAACAAATTTTAGTACGGAATTAGTTTTAGCACAAAAATTGTACGAAAATAAATTGTGATGGACTAGTTGACTACAAAACAAGTTGTTTCACACGACGTACGTTTCGCCGTATGGTTCGTGACGGCTCATCAGGTGTGCAATTTGAAACTCGGGTATTGAGCCAATAATAAAAGTAGAAAGGAAAAGGACATATGAAAACGAGTTAAGAGTACCTCTCCACCACTGTAACTAGATACTATATACAGTCAGAAAGTGCAACAACTAGGCAGGTAGTAGGTAGTCAACTAGTCCATCACAATGTCATGCATGAGGAGTACTGTAGGAGTTTAGATTTCGGCTTGTACAATTCGTTCTCGCAAAGCTTCCCCCTTCCTTATCTTTGATATTTTTGACCCACCCAAGTTGAGTGGTGTGCTGCTTTGCTGCTTCGAATTGTAGTTAGACCGCTTTGTCAAATCGCCTACTGGTCTCGTCATCGTCCAGTGACAATCGACATTCTTTGTTCCGTTGGGACTGTAGCTTGTGCTCGTTTTCGTTGCGCTTGCCTTCCCCTCTTTGGTCTTTCCATAACCTTGAACCTTCCAAGTTGGAAGGCTGTCGGTTAGCGCTACGAAGATGTGTTGAAGCTAGGTGTCAGGACGTCGAATGTCTCAGTACTCTGTCAGTTTTGTGCCTAGTTGTTGCACTTTCTGACTGTATATAGTATCTAGTTACAGTGGTGGAGAGTTACTCTTAACTCGTTTTCATTATGTCCTTTTCCTTTCTACTATTATTATTATTATTATTTAATAAGGATGGCGTAACTTCTCTGTAGCCTTGTAGCGATATTGTGGGTAGGTTCTGTTTTTGTTTCTGAATATGTGACATTATCTTCAATGTTAGTCTCAATTCTTAGCACTAGTTATGATGTTCCTGGTATATTGCCACGTTATTGTTATTACCTTTTTTTCTGTAGTTATATTGTTGTTTTGTTCACAGGAGTCACATATCCCTGAAGATGCCCTCTTGGGCGAAAATTTGGAAAGGAGTTTGAAGTTTGGTTTTGAGAGATTTGGAGAGACTTTAATTTTTTTTTTGTAGCCAAGGACTTTGTGCGGCCGTGGGCGGTGAAAGAAAATTAGAAATTATTATTATTATTATTACTATCTATAATTGAGGGGGGACGTAGCCTATCCAGGGGTTCTCCACTTGCGCGATGTTGAATGGGTAGCATAACAGGAGTGGGCGGGGGGGGGGGGGGGGGGGGGTATGCAGTTGGAACGTGATTTGCGACACTTTGAATTTTTGCAAGTATGGTAGAGGGTGAGCGCTGCAGGAGCAGATTGAGTTAATCAGCAGTGAGCAGCCATTTCACCGCTGCATGGGTGTGCCATTCAGCCACTGGACAAAATGCCAAAAGTAATGGCCAGCCCCACAACTTTGTGGTCCTGGCAACTGGGCTTTTGCACTTGTGTAATTGAGACCACGACAACTACAATCGCAGTGACTGTCTTGATATTTGCAGTTTGGAACTGCAGGCGAGTAGCATTGCCGTTGGAGGTGGTCCGGCCAGAGGGGTTCCGGGGGGGGGGGGGGTTATCCCGCGGGGAAATTTTGAAATTAGGGTGCAAAATCCTGCATTGTGGGCATTTTTCGCATCGTGTTAAAAAAAGTGGTCCGGCTTTGGCCGGACCGGCCAGACCGGCTGCTACGCCCCTGAACTGGCCGGACAATACTACACATAAGTTATGCCTGCAGGCGGACATTCGCTGCGGACATTGCGCCACATTAATAATGAAAGTGTTGCAGCAAGCTGCGAGTTGGTCATTACCTGCGCAGAACATATTCGACCCATATTGGGTACGTTGGTACCCCGAAGAACAGGAAGGATTAGTGCTACTTGAAACGCATGTATACCCGCTCTTGAAGGGGTTGGACTCGCACGTGGCGGGGCAACGATTGCCGCGGGCAGAGGTAAAACACTCATCCTGCACTGTACAAAGCAACAGAGAAATGCAGCAACAAACGAGAAGACTATGTATACCCGGCAGGCGTGCATTTACCATCACATGAATCAATCGTGAACGCAGCCGCAGTGGAGCAATCAACTTCACTAATACCGTATTTCCCCGTAAGTTAGTTCTCCCCAATGACTTAGTACCCCCCTATAAAAAATAGGGTTTATCGGGTGTTAGCGGCCGTCGTGAGTTCCCTTCGGGAACGGATACGATAATTTACTTTTTTTATTTTTTATAAAAAATACACTTTCCCCTGCCGAGGTTATCACCCCGAAAGACAGTTCCCCCCGAAAGATAGTAAGTTCGTACCCGTCCTACATGTACAGACACCGTACAGTACATACATCATATGCACGGACACTAGAGTTGCGCAGGCTTCCCACTGCGTGTCATTTACCCCCGATAAAAAATCACTCCCCGAAAGATAGTACCACCCCCGAAAGTTAGTACTCATGTGGCTGCTAAGTTCGAAAGTTAGTACGTACTAACTTACGGGGAAATACGGTATCTAGTTATGGCAAGCTACGCATTAATTACAGTGCTGCTCTGCGAGTTTTCGCTTCTGCGAGTTTTCGCTTCTGCAAATGCTGGAGTGAGAATGACCATGCTGTAGTCACCTGTCTCGCCGAAATCAAACATTCCCTCTTCCGTCACTTTCGCTGACACACACACTACACTGATGACATTCCAACAGCTTTTTAATGTTCTACTCAGGCTCAACTGGTAAAAAAAAAGAGTAAATTATCGTGTCCTTTCCCGAAGGGAACTCACGACGGCCGCTAACACCCGATAAACCCTAGCGGTAGATGCAGCGCCTAACGGAGCTCAACTGGTGAGGGGTGAATTCCCCGAAACACTGTGTATTGTTGAGCAGGGAGTGGACTGGTGCTTTCTCGCAGGTTTGCCGAGTGAACGGTTCGATGGGCTTTCCAGGTGCTCTGGATGGCAGTCGTGGGTCAGTCGAGTGAAAATTCAAGTCGGCAGGAATAGCGAGAGCTCCCCTGTAGGGAGCAACACACAATTCTTTTAATTTTTTTTAATTTTCTCTGTTTCCTTTTTGTCCTCTTGTAGTCTTGGACGCACACATGATATTTCTGTGCCGAGTAGGAGATCCACTCGACAGGCCTGAGCCTCTGGGCAATCCCCCTCCCTCCATATTGGCCTATATTCTCTGGCCACGGGAAGGTGAAATAAATAAATAAATAAATCCTTTTTAATAAATGCAATGAATAAAATCTAATAAATGCAATGAATACAACTACATGCTCACTCATATCACAACTAGGGCTGAAACGAATGCGCAATGAAGCGAACGAATATTCTTTTTTCCGATTACGTGTGAAACGAAGAATATTCCGAATGTTCTAAACCATACAATATCCATGGATAACTAGCTGTATCCATGGTAACCAGAGACCATCAACTGGTGTGTACCCCAATTACAGGAGAGATATTTGGAAAGGGCAATGTTATCATTTGTCTTGCTGATGACAACACATAAAAGGTGGCAATCTTACCCAATTTCTGCACCAAAATAAGCCTGTTCGATATCAAAAAGGCGAGTTTCTGTACACTTACGGACATTCTTACTCTACTCTACAGTTGTTGTTGTTGTTGTAGAAGTTTATTTAACGTCGCACCACAAACAGGCGATTTCGCCTCCTTTGATACATGTGGACGACAGAAGGAATGAGAGAGAGGCAGTCCATTTCAAAACTATAGACGCGTAGGGTTTTTGAAATATTTCAAATTTGGCTGGAACTTTTTGAGAATAGTTTTCGGAATATTGCTCAGGATCGCTCCACAATTACTCTCATATAGTTTCTAAACGGGGCGGAGCTTAATGGGCCCCACCACCACACTCCATCATTCATCCCAGTGTCTGGAGATATGTGGATTTTGTAGAGAGAAAAAAAACAAAAACGATTGGATAACAGACGCCCAATTTGGAACAATTTATGAACAAAGTCATCACAGATTTTATGTGGTATAGATGCTGGCATAACGGTTTTTGCCTAGGTACACGTCTATAGTTTTGAAATGGACTGTAGTCCGTGTTGGTCAGTTGTGCAGTCCGTGTCTGCAAGACTTAGGGCGCGTTTGATTGGTCGGATCCGGAACAGGATCGTTCAGAACAGGGGCGTTTGATTGGTCTGCACTGCTTTTGGAGTATTTGGAGCATGTTTTTTACCTAGGTACGCGTCTATAGTTTTGAAGTGGACTGTAAAGAAGAATATTCTTTTTCCGATCTGCATATTTCGAATATTCGAATAATTCGAATTTTCTTTTCAGCCCTAATCACAACCATAGCAACGAATAAAGTGTCCCAGAACGTTTTCTTGTCACAATTGTCAATGGAATTCGTGACTCTTGGTTCAGGGTTGTTCGTTCTGCAAGCAATTTCAAGCAGTTGAAAGTTCCAGAAGCCGTCTATTTTCGCATTCAGGATCACAATCTTTGTAAACAAAAAGAAAATGTCACCGCACTTACAGTCCTCCAGCAAATTCGCACTCACACACACTTGCACATACATGTACATTGTCACACTGCAGTTGCTGAATTTTCTATCATTTCTCACCTGTATAGTTTTATTACAGTGAAATCTTTACCGAAGTTCGTGCTCTTCTTCTTACTATTGTTGTGTCCTCGTGTTTCTCCCACTTCAAAGTCTATAAATCCTATTGTAGTTTCGTCATTCCTTTTAGTCACGAATTCCATTGATAACTGTGACATCATCGGAACACGTTCTGGAACTTTTTATTCGTTGCTGTGGTTGTGATATGAGTGGACATTATAGTTTTATTCATTGCATTATTAAGATTGTTGTCTCCCACGTCGCCGTTTTACTAAAATCTAGCACGACTTTGTGCAGCGTTGTGCTGGGGAAGCCTCACTCAAGGTTGCGCCCGGCTGCGCCAGCTCGCAGCGCAGCGTTCGCCAGGTCCAGGGCTGTGCAATGCCCGGTGCATACCGGAGTGACGCGACAGGACTTTGCTGAGCGTCACCGTGCGATAGTTACTGGGGTGTTGGCCGCACTTTCAGACGCACAGACAGACTCAAAAATCGCCCCCGCAGCTTAGACTCTGAATGCTGGATACTGTAAATCATGAATATGTAACGAACAAACAAATGGAACGAGTTAACGAGCAAAGATTTGTCGTTATGTTAAAATTCGTTAGCAAAAGTCGTATGCATTTGGGCCTCGAACGATTGAAATCGATCATTTCACATTATGGCATGCAGCGCGTGTTCAACGGATCGTAACTCGGTCAATTCTCAACGGAATTCAACAATTGAAAGATCTAGATGATAGCAGAGATGCTCAGCGGTCGGCTCAAACAACTCCGAAGTCTCTCAGATGAATTTGGGCGTTGCAGCAGGAGATCGAAAAATTTGAATTTTTTATGCTCTTACGCTGGATAAATTTCATTTTCTTTATTCTCCTGAGATCGATGTCTTGCTTCTCAAGACCATGTCACAGCGGCGTTCCTGGTATACTGTGATGGACAACAATGAATGTCCTTGACGAGTTTGGGCTCATTGTAATCTCCTCTCCAAGAACTTTTCAGGAGCCCAAGATGGTCAAATTAATTTTTTGGTAAAGTGGAACCAATGTTATGATGGAACAATTGAACGATGCATACTCAAAATGCAGGAATTATTTTCTTGTTGTAGTCATTTCAGTGGAGGCCCAAAGAGTTGAATGTAGCATTCCTAGTCTTATTGCATCTGTCTGGGAAAATCGTTTTAACTTTTCAAACCGACGAGCTTCGAAAATCAGAAAATCCTTAAAGGGGAAGTATACCCTAAAATCAAATTTTCACCAGTTGTAGTCTTCTGGGTGCTGAGTCGAATGGTCTTGGTCCGAGGAAGCTGCGACGCTCCCTTCCTACTTGAATCCCAATCGAACTCGCGCACTTCCACCGAAACTGGGTGACTGCGCCCTACTAGATGGGGATTTGTATGCAAAATGTCACTAAAAGCGCCATTTCGTTATTATAAAAGCACGGATGACCGCGATTGGCCCATATGTTGTAGTCTTTTGGAAGCTGAGTCGACTGGTTTTGATCCGAAAAGGCTGCGATGCAGCGTTCCTCCTTTATTCCCAATCGAACATGGTTGAACAAGCGGTCACGTGCTCCTGGGTGCCCAAATCACCTGGTCACCGCGCCAGCAGGCGACAACTTTCACACCAAGGTTCAACTCGAGTTCAACTCGTGTGACAGGACTGCACCCAAAAAAGGTCAAACAGGCTAGTAAGTTGTACCCTGCAGGCACGGTGACCAGGTGACTGGTGTACGCAGGAGCACGTGACCGCTTCTTCAACCATGTTCGATTGGGAATAAAGGAGGAACGCTGCATCGCAGCCTTTTCGGACCAAAACCAGTCGACTCAGCGTCCAAAAGACTACAACATATGGGCCAATCGCGGTCATCCGTGCTTTTATAAGAACAAAATGGCGCTTTTAGTGACATTTTGCATACAAATCCCCATCTCGTAGGGCGCAGCCACCCAGTTTCGGTGGAAGTGCGCGAGTTCGATTGGGATTCAAGTAGGAAGGGAGCGTCGCAGCTTCCTCGGACCAAGACCATTCGACTCAGCACCCCGAAGACTACAACTGGTGAAAATTTGATTTTAGGGTATACTTCCCCTTTAACGTTGCGGGTCGTTAAAAATAATATGCACCGTACACCGAGTGTAAAATAAAATCGAAAACGTGATTTCGGTTCGTGGTGCATGCAGTGGGCGCATGCAGCCAACGCGTCACCAAAGCAACAAGGCATGTTTACAAGTCGTAGAGAAATCACGTAGAGCGACACCCAACAGCACTGAATTTTACGTATGAAAATTACGTGCAGTTCCTACTCTATTTTAATACGTAATTCCGTAGAGCGAAACCTCCCTAATATAGGAAATAGAAGCTGAGCAAAAGACTGAGGCGAAGCCGAGGTCTTTTACGAGGTTTTTATTTCCTATACTGACCAAGGTACGAAGTCAAGGTTAGATTTATCATGACAAACAGTCCGTACACGTATTTCAAATTCCAGAACGATAACCTCATGATTTCCGCTTTATGATTGCACGACTGTTGCACCCCCACCTACTAATACAGTGCCCATGCTGCACTAGACACCGCGTACCGCTCAACTGCGCAACCCCTAAGCAGTCAAATATAAGCAGTCAATATAGCCCGAAGGAGTGAAATATGCAGGAATATGTGGCTGCTTAGGTATAGCGAAAATCATTGGGAGTCAATACTAAGAGAGTCATACATTGACCGACGGTACTGACGTTCTACAACTAACTGGCTAACAGCTCTAACACATCTTGGATGCGCACTCCAACAGCCTTCCAACTTGGAAGGTTCTAAGTTATAGAAATAACATATAGAAATAACTAAGGAGTGTTATTTCTATAACTTAGAACCTTTCAAGTTGGAAGGCTGTTGGAGTGCGCATCCAAGATGTGTTAGAGCTGTTAGCCAATTTATTTTTAGAACGTCAGTACCGTCGGTCAGTATCGTGCAATGTTATCGCATGAGCTGATTGTTTAGTAACTGGTGGTGTTGGTGGACATTATAGTGAAACTTGTAGTTCCTTGGTCCTTTTTACTTTTTATAAATTAATCCTTGGCTCTCCATCCGGGTTAAATAGTAAATACAATGTACTCTGAAAAACTGTGTGAACTCGGCTCCGACTTTTTTTTTCTTTTTTTTTTTCGTTCCCGCTCCCTTGTCATCGGGGAAAGAATTTCATGATCAGCAGCACGCGAGACAGGCACTGCAAGTCAAACAAATATTCGCCACATACTTAATTTCGACTAATTTTGGCCTGAGGAGAGGAAGAGTTCTTTATATTTTCGGCCTGGGCATTTTTAGCTGGAATTTTCTTGCGGCCGAAATTCAGCTTCACAAGTTTCAGTGTGACAGTGCATGCCGGCAGCAGCAGTAACTGAGTGTAGGTCGACATTTTAATGCGGCCGAAGTGTGTTTTATTAGTGGGACGCTGAAATTTGTAAGCGGCCAAACATTCATGGACATGGAGCAGACCGTGCCATGGCTGGGCATCGCCCTCATCTCTGAGTTTGCTCCTCACATTAGCAATGCGTCCACATACTACGGGATTGAGTTTAATTAATATTATTAATAAGTAAGTTTCCCGTTTGTCTCTTTCCCTCAAACCAGTCAGTATTTTACGACTTGGGGCTCCCCGCGTGCTAGTTTGTACGTGAAGTGTGTGGGTTACAGTGAGGGCTGCGTCCCACCCGCCTGTGTGGATTCACAGGAAGTGTGAGTTACGAAGTCTGAAGAAAGTGTTGAACGGCCTCTGCTGGGATGACGACTACACCATAGCTCAGTGGTTAGAGCATCGCTGGCTACAAGCGAGGGTCCCTGGTTCGAGTCCTGGTGGTGACAGTCAATTTTTTCTTTAGACTTTTCCCGTTTGTCTCTTTCCCTCAAACCAGTAAGTAAAAGAATAATTAATATTATTAATAAGTAAATAAAAGAACTCAGATGGTGAGCCAAGGAAGAAAAAAATTGTTACATGGAAATTGTGGGCACAAGTTAAGTTATGCGATCGGAGTCCACAAACTAAACCAGAAATGAATAAATGCAAACGGACTTTGTCATTTGAGACTTACTTCTACAGACGACAGCTCCCGGGCTGCTGTCCTCCGTCAGCCACGTCAAGGCAGGGTTCCTTGACCCGGACACTGCACTTCTGAAATTCAAAAGGCATGTCTTCAAGTCGGTAAAATAGCCAGTAGCATTCAGCACCAATTCCACGCTATTCTGTTTGTTACTGGGCACTTGATTTTTGCACTTAGCCAGAGCTGTCTGATTGCCGGTCTTGGACACGGGGTCATATCCCCATGGAAGGTAAAATAAATAATCGCCCACAGAGAGAGTTTTCATATTGCAGATATCAAACACTAAAATCCAGTGGCAGAGCATCGGGGGGGGCACGCGCACGCACACAGGAAAGCAGGATAAGATCATTAGTGGTGTGCCAGGGTAAAACCCCATCAAGAATAACACTGAACACAGAACAGGCAAAAGTTCACTTTAGGGGTCATGGCAAAAGTTTTTTTGTTTTTTTTGTCGTCCCTGAAACGACCGTCATTCATTGTGTGTGTGTGTGTGGGGGGGGGGGGGGGGGGAGCCAAAATCGCAAGTCGACCGTCACTGTACATACTATGCACATGGATGCGACTGTCACTGTCCAGTATAGCAAGCTGCTTTAATTTCGAATGACGGGGAGGGGTTCGAGCACGAAGCGCTCGTTCAGGGACGACGGAAAACGTTTGCGACGACCCCTTATAAGGGCACGTGCTCATAGCTCTACTGGGGGTGAACTCCCTGTGGCTGCTGGAGGGTGCCAGCTTCACCACATGCACACCAGCAGCATGCCTCCAAGTTGTAAATACTTCCTCCGCGTCATCGAAATTGTCGCAGTTTGACTAGTGACTTGTCACTTGTTACTGACAACTCCATAAACTAAGCCATTCAAAACTTATTACACAGTATGATAGTCTGAAGACTAGAGTAACGTTCCAGGACAGTTGGACTGAGAGTTTTCATGCAGAGATGAAGTCCTCGTCGTCGCTCATGTCAATGGATGCAAAAATATCGTTCCTAAATATTTCAAGGACGGTTGAAAGTTGGTCGCGCCTCATCTCAAACGCTTTTACTTTCTCAACAGGACAAGAGCTGCTATGCTTGTCGTCTGCTATCTCTGGATGATTTCTACTTCACCACCAACGAAGCCTAGTAAGAATACACGATCGTTGCGTGGTCGGTTGTAGAGTCTACACGGCTCTTGCAGGTACAATCATGCACTGAGTGTCTCAGCCAGAGCGACACATTTTATCGCTGTTGCAGGCATTTAGTTTGCCGACCCCTCGATGTTTCCCCAAGCGCTGCCACTTGTTCCACGAAGTCATTCTCACCCCAGCTAAGGTAAAACAGTGATGGGGCTTGAGTGAATGGCCATAAGCACAAGAAATGTGCAGGCTGCAACGCCGGACTATCTCTGCGAGTCGAAATTACCATCGCAGCGACATCAGCGAAGAAATTGCGTCTAGTTCAAAAATTCCAGCTTCCAATAACAGAAAATAGAACTTTGCCGTCACCCTATACTGATGACTATCGCCTATGTCCGATTCCTTGCCTCTGGTACGAGTGCTGGTGAGTAAATACCGCGTTTTATATCAAAAGTCAAACTGCGACAATTTCGATGACGCGGAGGAAGTAAATAGATAAAATGTCACGGTTCGCGTGCGACTCGGCTGGACTGAGCAGAATTTTCCGCATCCGTAGAAACGCCACGACCCTCTTGGATCAAAGGCGCAGATGCAGTGCCTAAGCGGTGGGAGGTGAGTAGATCAGACCCACCACAAAGTGGTCAAAGACCGAAATCCCATTACCTGCATGCAAGTAGTTACTGACAAAATGAAAACGTTTTTCAAATGTTTCCACTGGGTACAGAATACGGCTAGGACGAACTCCCGCTATCACAAGCAAGTTCTCCACTAACCCGAACGGTGAGTGAACTACCACTGGAGTCCGTCCTTTTCTGTTTGTTATACTAAAGTTCACATTCTAAACTCGTAAGTGATAGGAATGGACAAGGTCAGCGAAAGACAAGCCCCGCGGCAGTGACAGGGCACCGATCGCAGAAACACCAAATGAAATACAACCAAAAAGAAAAAAAAACGACGGCAGCTGAGTGGGGCCGCACGCAGCAGCAGTGGTGGTGCGGTGTAAGTACAGCACTGGCAACTGAAATCCGACCCCTCAGTTCAGACTGGCGTGAAAAGCAAGCGGAATGTGAAGGTTGCCAAGGTGAATCGCTCAAGTGACTTTCCTGCCAGCGTAAACACGGAAAGGGTTTCCCGCCACTGTGCAGGTCGGTGGAATGCAGATTCCGGCGGCACGCGGAGCACTTTTGATATCCTTGCACCACATGTTCCGTCTTTCCTTTTTATTTCAGCCTCTACTCTTTCAGTCTGACTGCATGCTTTTGAGTTTTGACTTCTAGACTGCCAACTTCTCCCATCATGCTGAAATCTGTGTTCGACTCAGCAATGGAGAGGGAGTTCATGCAGCTGTACGTAGTGATTTTTGGGGCCCTGCAGGCAAAACGTTGACTGCGAGCGAGAAGCATACTCTGATCGCTGAGAGGATGAATGCCACCCAAGCACCAAACACTCCAAAAATCGTATTCTTTCCGTCGACAAGCACAAGCAAAAGCACAATGATCCAGTATCTCAACAGACTTAATTAGTCTACTCTTGTGGGTCATAGTCCCCTTTCCCAGTAGGGATTCACTGGCCAGAAAAAACCACTTCATAGCCGTGTGGTGTAGACCAGGCTGAATAGTGGCGGTCAATTCTTCAGCCTTGCAAGCTGTTGAATGGTGCAATCCCAGCACAAGTTGCTACAGCTTCTGCTGTAGCATCGCTATCATCGCCTCCGTCGATGGGCGTCCAATGGTCCAATGGTGTGTGCATGATTGTAACACACCCGTGATCAAGTGGTGTGCTTCACGGTCCGCAGAGTGCTCAATACAAATGTAGGGCAGAGCCTTGTACACAAGAGAGATTGGAAGCTCTCTCTCTCTCTCTCTCTCTCTCTCTCTCAAGAGTTGTGACAAAGCTTCCAATCTCTCTTGTGTATAACACATGCACAGAAGAATCCATCCATTCTAGAACTACGACGATAGATCGATTAAGCAGAGTGTTCGAACGTCGTCAGGCGAAATAGCACGTCATAGTACATTTGAGATCAGCGGGAAGAAGATGACGACGTCCACTAATTTAGTATCTGTGCACACGAATCTGCTGTGTGTGTGACTCTGTGTGTCAGCTATGATATTATCATCTTCTGTGGTTCCATGCCTAGCATGTACGTCTGAACCATCCTTCAAAGTTTGAATGACGTAGGTTGAGCAATCGCTCCGCGAAACATACTTTTTGAAATTCTCTTCATAGTATATCTTCCACCATTGAAATTTCGAATTTCTTCAAAAAAAGTGCTGAGAGGGGTGGCTTGCAACCTCGATATGGCTTGTTCCAGGCATGCTTTGGAGCCATCTTCTGTTGAAGTAGTGGCGGGGATCTGCCCTGCAACTGCTACAACAAAAAATGATTCGATCTGAGAAAGGGTGAGACCGCGAATCTCGGTTGAATATTGAGTATTTCAAGCCTTTTCACGACGAAGATGGAGTTCTTTTTGGAGATGGACGTCGCGGCAAAGGACATGGTGTCCTACTTCTGGCGTCTGGTGAAGCCAGGGATCATTTGTCCAGTCAGGTCGGCAGCCTAACCATCGGTAAGCTTGTGTTTGGATCCCGTTCTGCTCGATGTGGTAGATCACAAACAATTTGATATCGCACAAATTGATCTGGGTGTCATGACCCGGATCAGACTCGTCGTGAAAGCGACCATGCATTGAGCTCAGCAGCCAAAAGCTGGGCTCCGAAATATTCTAGAGTTCTGTAAGAACCATGATTAGTCCCGCGAAGGATTTGGCACTTTCGTTAGTTGAGCAATCATGGCTTACAACTAGTGGCCTCGAGTCACAAGTGTTGTCGTACGGCGGCTACACCTTCAGTACAAGTCGTCAGCATTGTACTCACTACACTGTTGAGCTTGAGGGGACCCTGCTTAGTCCTGCAAGGGAGCTGATACCTTTGTTAGTCGAGCAAGCATGGCACCTCTTCTCGCGTCGTACGACGTAAAGGGTCCTGCAAGTGCTTCGCGCACTGCGGACTCCGTTATCCCTTTTTGGGAGAGGTCACGGCTTGACCGTGAAGCACCCTACGGGGTAATGAGAGGGAAGATCCTACGGGCAGGAGATGAAGGGTGACCAACGACCAAGGCAGCGTACGGAGGCGGCGTGCTCTAGCTGCAGCAACTTCCGACAGCATACTCCAGGCCCCGTCGCACGAAGAGCCTCGGAGTCCTTTCATGTAATGTGGGTGAGCAAGCTCCCCGTATTGATTTATCATTCTTTGTACTATATTCTAGTTTGGCTGATTGCACATATTGCACCACTGTTTGTAATATAGAAATAATCCTTACGCATTCTTGCCACTGTATACTTTTGATCACATAATGTAGAATATATAAGGAGCTGTTTTGCTAACATTCATCCTCGATTCTCGGGGAGCTCACTACTCCTCTCGATTCTGAGAGAGTCACTCCGACTCTCTCCTGCTTTGGTCTTTTGACTCTACACACTTGATCTTTCGATCTAGTACTGCAATGGTTCAAATAAACACTGTTCAAGTGGAATTAGAAACCTGTCGTTCTATGTGAGCTAGCAACTTGGATGGCGACTATATTGGTCGTCTACCTGGGTAGCCACTAGACTGATCTAAGCCAAGTCACAAACCCGCCAAGCGCGGCCATGACATCAGCATCGTGCGTACGGTATTTTGTATTCAGAAAATCCAAAAGTGTCTCTGTGTGGCCGTCCAATGCCACAAGAAACTCCAATCAGGCTCCTATGTCCTCTGCCTTCATGATTGAATGTCCACTTTGTTTGAACAACAAACACAACAATCGAGGACGGCTTTGCAATGAAAAATACAGCTATACTGGAGCTGAGAAAAAGAAGAAAAAAACGTGCTCAGGATGAGACTCGAGTACACGCATACTCTCCCAGCAGGTGAAACGCAAATTTTTGTGAAAAATGCGTGTCGCCGACTGACCAGTAATTTCGCCTGACGGCCACAACGCCCATACAACCGTAGATCGACACATTAACAAACTTATCCAAACACTTCCTTGAAGCGAATATTTCAAAGGGGAAATATTCCTTCCATTTCGTTTCCAAACGAATATCAATTGAATATTCCTTGCAACCATACTTTTGGGCGTCCATTACCATCTCTCTCTCTCTCTCTCTCTCTCTCTCTCTCTCTCTCTCTCTCTCTCTCTCTCTCTCTCTCTCTCTCTCTCGCTCTCTCTCTCTCGCTCTCTCTCTCTCTCTCTCTCTCTCTCTCTCTCTCTCTCTCTCTCTCTCTCTCTCTCTCTCTCTCTCTCTCTCTCTCTCTCTCTCTCTCTCTCTCTCTCTCTCTCTCTCTCTCTCTCTCTCTCTCTCTCTCTCTCTCTCTCTCTCTCTCTCTCTCTCTCTCTCTCTATCTCTCTCTGTCTCTCTCTCTGTCTCTCTCTGTCTCTCTCTGTCTCTCTCTGTGTCTCTCTGTGTCTCTCTGTGTCTCTCTGTGTCTCTCTGTGTCTCTCTATCTCTCTCTGTCTCTCTCTGTCTCTCTCTCTCTGTCTCTCTCTCTCTCTGTCTCTCTCTCTCTGTCTCTCTCTCTCTCTCTCTCTCTCTCTCTCTCTCTCTCTCTGTCTCTCTCTCTGTCTCTCTCTCTCTCTCTCTCTCTCTCACACACACACACACACACACACACACACACACACACACACACACACACACAAATGCATGCACAAATTCACATGCACAAACGAGCACACACACACACACACACACACACACACACACACACACACACAAAATAAATATAAATAAATTTCACAGTTCGCGTGAGACTCGGCTGGTAGCCGAGTTTTCCGCATCCGCCGTGGGAACGCCACCGCCCTCTAGGATCAAGGCGCACAAACACACAAATGCATGCACAAATTCAAATGCACACACGAGCACACGCACGCACGCACGCACGCACACACACACAAATGCATACACAAATTCACATGCACACACGAGCACACACACACACACACACCGCACCTCCCTGAAAACCAGACCAGTCGTTCCTCCGCCGAATGGTCCGGACAAATGGTGAACACACAGGCACAGAGCAAAGCAGTGTTCCTACCTGGTTTCACACAGGTAGCCAGGACGTTGTCAAGCCCCACAACTGTAGGATTCACCTTGAATAAGTGTTCATCACCCTTCCACGATGCGCGATTCTGTTCAGCGGGGTAAACTTTCTCTAGGAGGCTCCTGATGCACGTGTCGAAGGAGGCAGGTGGAAGGTAACCGCCAGTTTCGGCGCAAAGCTTGCGGGAAGCCTGGAATGAGGAATTATCTAAAGAACCCTTTGGAACATAGACTTTGGTGAGATTACTGTGACAAGTAACGTATGCTGCAGATCCGCAGCAAATACACGAACACAAAAAAGAACACAGAAAGATTAGCGACGGAAACTGGCTCGAGAAGCGGACAAGATCGAGCTTCACGAACCTGACAAACAACTGCAAACAGCTTTCCGCAAACGCACCGACTAAAGCCCCCCTCCCCGGCCCGGCCCAGCAAAAATAGTCCCATGTGTAGCAGAGAAAGGCACTGCAAAATTTGTCGCCCGAAGCGAGCATGGACGACAGACCAGATCAACGGGGTTTAGATGGCAGGGATTGGACTACTCCCTGGTCTCAAACGTACTGTAAATCAGGCCTAGATGTTCTTCTCCGCATCTATTTGCTGCTTAAAGCACTTTCAGGCCTAACATCGCAGGCCGTTGTTGGAAACTGGTGGCCGCTGCACCTGGAGATGGTGCACAAGGCCGCTTTGGAAAACACTCACCGTACGAAAAACAGTTGCACAATTTTCAAATACGCGACGAGACGTTGCGAACGAAATGTTTTAAAAACCCATCATGATCATCGAACGCAGAGCCTGAAGCCTGTGAAGGGCGAATTTTCGAAAGCGGAAAGAAAAGGAAAGGGGACGCCGCTGTAAAGTGTGAACCAGCCATAGGCAAATTTCGGTTCAAACCTGGCGGAATTTTCGGGAATCTCATCTTAAAGTTAAGAGATTGAATTGCACGTTCCATCCAATTGGGCCTGTGTAGAAAAAATAAACTACTGGTCTCTTCTAGAAAAGAAAATGGACCAAGGAGCTACAATTTACGCTATAATGTCCACTAACACCACCAGTTACTAAACAATCAGCTCATGCGATAACATTGCACTACACTGGCCTTCCCCTCTTATGTTATTTCTATAACTTAGAACCTTGCAAGTTGCAAGGCTGTTGGAGTGCGCATCCAAGGCGTGCTAGAGCTGTCAGCCAGTCAGGTGTAGAATGTCAGTACCGCCGGTCAATGTCGTGCAATGTTATCGCACGAGCTGATTGTTTAGTAACTGGTGGTGTTAGAAGACAGTATAGCGTAACTTTTAGTTCCTTGGTCTTTTTTCTCTTCTATAAATGTATCCTCGGCTCTCCATCCGAGTCCATACCGGCCTTTACCAGAATAAATTGGAAGCATCTCCAATTCTTTAATTTATAGTCTGTGCATCTGCGCAACCCACTCCAGTTCAAATGAACACTAGGAAATTTTAGAACCGAATATTTTCGTTCCCCTCCTTCATGGGCTTTCCTACATGAGCGAGCGAAGAGGAGGGAGCGGAAACATTCGGTTCTAAAATTTCCTGCTGTTCATTTGGACTGGAGTGGGTTGCACAGATGCATGTACACAAGAGTACATAACCCCCCCCCAAGAGTGTGCAACGCCTGATCCAGCTCTGCATAGGGTCTTGGTCGAGCGGAATCGGATCTTTGCGTCATAATACCGAACACATCTGAGGGGAACCCGGGGAGTCGCGGGTACTCTTGGATCAAAAACAATGGTGCCCTGCCTCGAGACCGGTCTTGCGCTGGTGTGGAGTGTACGCATGACATCAGAAGATCCGATTCCGCTCGACCAAGACCCTATGCAGAGCTGGATCGGCGTTGCACACTCTGGGGGGTTATGTACTCTTGTGTACATGTACATGTAGTGCATTAAAGTGCCGGTCTTCTAGTGCATTTACTGTGATGTGAAGATCTAGATTCATAATTACAGTCAGTTTCAAAAAGATTAGCAATCCTGGCGATCGCCCGGGGAGTTTGCCGTCTTACCGTATGCGCGCTCGAGAGCTGGCTGGAAAAACTCACTGTGAACTCGAAGAAATAATCCGTGCGAAAGCATGAAAAATGACAACTCACTCACGTCGGTACATGAACGTCTGGTTTACAACAAACGAGTTCTTCCTCGTATCGAGTCAGAGAGGACAAGTCGAAAGTGTGGTAAATGTTGACGAGCGGGATGGGTCCCAATTCGTTTCTTGCCCAATTTCTTTGAGCTGCGATGCAATTTGCTCTCACGATGTGACGAAAACGACATCGACACAGACTCATTCCCAAGGCCATGACTTGGCAAAGCTATCCGTGTGACTTCGACGATATTTTGAGAAAAGCAGACGCCTGTGAAAGCTGATAGAAGACGGCGTTGACTCCTAAATTCAAATAAAAAATTGGCGATCTTGAAGTACTAAAATAATTCTCAAAGAGAAATCGATCGATGTGGCGTTGTATTCAACAACACGTAGCTACAGCGCAATGACTTCCGTGTTCACTCACACCGTTTCAGTGTTGTGGGTGTGTTCACATGGCGTGAACCAGTCAAGTGTCAGTAAGTTAGGCAGGAAACTCGAGTTCCAACAACAACAAGTCGTTTGACGCAGCCACCTTCTTTGGCTTGTACTTTTTGTACCAGCGTGATCACCAAAACAATGAAAAAAAGGTTTGACTTGAAGATAGTTTGGGATTTGAACTCACAACTTCATGGTCAGCAGACAGCATTCATAACCACAAGGCCAAAAAGGAAAGGATAAATCGTGGTTTTTGATAAAAAAATCGATACTGACATCCACGGCAAATTGTAAACCATGGGAAAAGGCCGGAAACCTGGCCGAAATTCTAACTCCTTAACGGCTGGTCCAATTGTTCCGAAACCTTCACAGAACAATTTGCCGTGTCCTAACAAGCCATTCTATGTACTTTGTTGTCCAAATTTCCCTTATCTTCATACTTTTTAAGACCAAAACCTGATTGCTAATCTTTTTGAAATGGACTATAGTGATAACATTTGTTTGTAGATCGTGACCATGGCTTGTGGACGGTGGAACTAGCAGCATGCTTGACACAATGTGACCTAGAAAAATGCTAGGGTTTTGAGTGGATTTTGCAGGCCAGAAGTGCTATATAACATAGAGTGAAATGATTACAGTCGACTCCGCTTGCAACGAACTCGCATATAGCGAAATTCGTGATGGAGCGAACCATTGCCCATGACCCTATTGTTGTTGTTATTGATTTTTATTTTACTTTGCAAGGCCTAACAGGCAATGGTGACCAATTCTATGGAAGCGAATTAACCTTCTGTTCCGGTTAGAGCCCTTACACGCTTCCTGTGACTCCATACAGGCTGCTGGGACGCAGGCCTCAATAACAATATTAACTTTTTGACCACCCTTGCCCGTACACTTAAGTAGTCATTAACCCCTAGGCTCTGCCCACCCAATTCTTCCTCACTCTTTCTCCTTTCTTACACTATTATCTCTTATTGGCCACTGGCTATCGTGAGAATAAAAGATTTGAAACTTGGCATTTGCCACGTGCAAGCACCGGCTGCTCCCTGGGTTCCCTGGTTGAATAAATTCCTCCATTGTTTCAATGGCCTCTCATCAACGTTACGCGATATTCAATCACCGGATTTGTTTAAGCAAAAGATATCAACCCTGCTGCTACATTCCAAGTGCTCATGCACGAGCCACGCTCACCCGTACATCTAGTCTGATCACTGCCAGCCAGGAATTTTCCTCATCATACTAATCTCACTAGAATTATGAACTTTTATTGGCCACAGGTCATGGCGAGAGCAAAGATTTGAATAAATACAAATGCACTAGGGGTGAAACGAGTACTAGTATATCGAATACTCGAGCGCTCGCTCGAAAATTCGAAAGGAGCGAGTACTCGTTTCGCAAAATACTCTAAAGTATCTTATGCACAGTGTACTGTATGCATACATCAAGCACTTCTGTTACTCTGACCAGTACTGATAACCCATGCAAGCGTGAAATTATTGCTTGTCCCTACTTACCAACAAAAGACGGTAGTTCAGACTATTTCCTGCACTAGGCTGCATGCAAGGCTACATCATGTGTATCAGGTGTAGTACGTTCGGTGTTACGAGAGTGTGTGCAGTACATTGTTTTACGTTGTCAGTTAAATACGCGTACTGGCTCGAATACTCGCTCGTTTTTTCGAAGTGTACTCGAGTCCTCAATTTTGGCACTCGTTCACCCCTAAAATGCACTCACATGGATGCAACAATGTACGGAGTGGCATCGGTAACGTCATCTCGCTTACCACACTCTGGTGTTAACACTCCTTTGACGTCACTCTCAATGCACTGAACTCCACTGTCGCAGTTGTTATCACCAAAACTAGTGCAGTTCAGGCGCACCTGGCCCCCTGCGTTAAGGAACATATTCGCGTGTTCGCATGTGCGTACGTGACCATGCGTACACGCGTACACAACACACACACACACACACACACACACACAAACATACGCACGCAGGCACCCTCACACCCTCGGGTACACATGCACATGCACACACAATCATGCATGCAAACACACACACACACACAAGCAAACACATGCAAACACACACACACACACACACACACACACACACAAACACACACAAACACACACACGCAAACACACACGCAAACACACACGCAAACACACACACACGCAAACACACACGCAAACACACACACACACACACACACGCAAACACACACACACACACACACACACACACACACACGCGCAAACACACACACACACACACACACACACACACAAATGCATCAGAATTTGGCTCAGCACCCCATTTCTATTTCTGCAGTCCCAGTTACATCATTCTATATGAGCAGAATCCAAATAATTAAAAAAATCACGGCTCGCATGAGACTTGGCTAGAGGCCGAGTAGTCCGCATCCGTAGGAACGCCAATAGGCTCAAGGATCGACCACATTAGAAAAAGAATGGAGACTCTCTACAGTCCATTTATTTGGAAGCTGGCACCCTCACTTTTTAGCGTCTCCCGCACATACCGTAAAGTCTTGTATAAAAGCCGCGGCTTCTATGACTTTCTTGGTGAAATTCTGCAGGCTTCTATATGAGACAGGCTTCTATACAAGACAGGTATTTCTATGTATGTCAACACTAAAACCAGGCTTATGTGTGATTTGATGGGCCCAAAATTGCGGCTTCTATTCGAGGGCGGCTTCTATTCAAGTGCGGCTTTTATACAAGACTTTACGGTAGTTGTGCAATCATGTAGATGTAGATATCGTGAAAACAACAGTGCGTCCTGCATTGTGTGACCCGTGCACTCACTCCTTGCCACATTTGAGGCCAGAAAAACCCAAGAACAGGGAAATAGAAATACAAATACAAAATTCGGACAGACATACCATGGCAAAATGTATGGAGAAGTAGATCCCAAACCCAGATGTTCGAGGTTTAAAGTGGGTTTTTGATCCTCAATTCGGCCCAAGTCGGACTATCGGACTTTCAAAAGCCAGTGGGACTGTTTTCGATGAACGGACTGTAGTTCTAGTTCAACCACATACTGTAGAAGCGGAAAACTTCGCTGGAGATGTATTTTCAGTAACTTCAGCATAAAAATGTTTTTCACAAAATAATCTATTTAATTGGCTCGCCATCCAAGTTGAACTTCAGTATAGGTAATTTTTTTACGAAGAATAAAACGCGGCCTAAAATTCAACCACGCCATGTCGCACAGTGTGCAAATTGCACGTTTGGATCTGGAAAACTGGTTTAACGAAATTTTCGCGTTACCTAGCCGTCGATTTCGGGAAATACCGAATTTAATCACACCAATGAAAATTCCCAGATTTGCAGTAGTTCTAGTTCAATCACATGAGAAAAAGGATATCGGGTCTCTAGTTACGAGAACGGAACACCAAGAAAGCCATGAGAACGTAGTTGTAACGCTGATACTGAGCCAGAAAGAAAATAAAATTTAAAGAGAAGAAGTAGCCAGTCAGTTTTGTGCCCTGTTATCGCACTTTCTGACTGTTTATCATCTTGTTACAGTCGTGGATAGTTGCTGCAGAACTCGTTCTCATGAGAATGTAATCGGCTGTATACACGCTTTCCTAAAGCACTGCACAATGAATTATCATGCTATGATTCTTTTCAGTTGTTCTTTCTCTCATCAGCCATAACATTTTATTCGTTCTTAGTAGGAAACGGACGTTTTCCTCTGGTCAGGAGGCAGAATTGCCTGTTCTCTAAACGAATTCGAACAAGGGGAAGAAAGAAGGAAAGAAACAAACATCACCGAACCAATGGTCTCCGCAGAACGTTTCATCAATTTTGCCATCGTCGGGTACGAATGAAACAATCATGCAGGGGAGTCGGACACGGTACGGTCACTACGGTACTGACCGTACCACCTTTTGCCCCGGGTACCCCGTGAACCAATAAAATACACTGATCTGGGCTCTAATTATCCAAACTCTTCGGCTCAACCTCCCCTCCTCCACGCATAAATTTTACTTCAGGTGGCTGACCGTACCACACTAAAATATCTTCCGCGCCCCCTGTGATGTCACTCCTTCTCACAGAGCGCCTTTCTGCCTTTATCCAGGCAAACGTAAATGCTGTAGTGGCTTGTATTAAAGCCTGTCTCATAATAAGAATTATTTTAAAAGAAGCCTGTTTTGAATGCAAGCCTGATTTTTAAAGATACACTTCCGGCACATAAGCCCTGTTCTAGCGTTGACACCTGGTTTGAATAAAAGCCTGATGTAAAAGTGCATGCGGAGCTGCGTAGCGGGCTTGTAGCGCACTCCAGTTTCGAAGGGTCCAGGTCATGCCTATGACCCGATCAGTACGGACAAGAGTACATCCCCCCCCCCCCCCCCCCCCCAGAGTGTGCAACTCCCACATACCCTGCTGTCCCGACAGAATTTCAAGTTGACGTCATTACTTATGACGCAATGCTCCTTGCACCAGTGATTTACAACATGTGTACGGGTGTCAACGCATCACACGTTTTTCTTTGCAATAATTTGTACAGGATCGATCGGCTTCGGTCAACCACAGGTTCCGGATTCGTCTGATAATCCGTGTACAGTGCGCATTGCATCATCAAAATGACGTCAACTTGAAATTGTGTCGGGACAGCACCCATAGTGGAGTTGCACACTCTGGGGGGTTATGTACTCTTGGTACAGATCAGGTTCAACTTTCTCTGCCTCGAACATAGGGGGTTCCTTGTGAGGTAACATGTCCAGTTATGTAACAGGCAAGAGCTACCGTAATACGCGACATTATGACATTGTAGTGTGTTAACAGTTTCCAGCAGAGAATCTAGACTTACTTGCTGTTGTCACCACCAGGGTCTCAATGAGGGCGATGAGGAGGATGAGCACAGCATGGCGTTGCATTCTCTGCATCATTCCGAACCTGCTGCAAAGCGCAAACAAACCGGGAGGGAGGAGAACACACGGAGAGAGACACGCTACAATGTACACTGCAGTCGGAACACGATTCGTTGATCCGTCTCAGGATTCAGGACGGTCATAAAGTTACTACGTCGTGTGGCCTGGGCACAGTCATGTACGACCTATGGTCGAAGTCATGCAAGCGTGAATTCAGTTCGCTACTGCTCGCCACAATGCGATTTCCGCCACTGCCTTCGACATGCATCTCAGGATCTGAGTGCGAACTTGAACTCAAAGGCGAAAGTCGTCTTGCAAAACCTCCGTAGTAGCAGTACTTACTTCCAAAAGCAACTTCCCAGTAGCTTGATCCAACGTCGACAAGCAACACACCTGCAGTTCGGCTGGTTTCGTCCCGGTCGCGAGGCCACACACTTCAGGACTCGGTTTATTCAAAAGGAAATCTGAAGAAAGTAAACTGCTGCACAGGGAGAAAGCTCGTCTTGATCTCTCTCCACCTTTCCTCAGTTCAAAGCTGATTAGCAAGAAATAACAAATTCGTGTTTGCTTTGTGCTGCACGCGGCAGGATATCTACGGGTGGAGTCCTTCTAGATTTGTGTGCTTGTGTGAGCGGGCGAGGGATCTCCGAGATTATTGGTTACGGTTATGTGCGATTCGTACAGCATGACCGCACGTTCCCCAATAAGGTCCCACCAAACATTTTCTTCGCCTTGTTTAGGAGCACACTTTTGGCTTCCTGTCGCAGGTCGCACATAACACTGCACAAAGTGATTTGGGAATGGGCACGGAAGGGGACGAGTGGAGCCACGAAGTGACCCTCATGTACGCGCATTGTACGCTGGCGCCATGGCGTGGCTTTTGGCCTCCCTGCGTCCCTTTTTAGCATTTCTTATTCTCCCTCTAAAGACTCGTGTTTCCTTTTCAGCTCTCCTTCCTACACACATCTTTCTACAATTAATTTTGTGTTTCTTTCCCTTTCTCCTCGAATAGTACCATGCGCCACTTGCACCGTACATGCATCCTGCTTTTTTGTGCTGACTCTTTGCTAGTTCTACAAATTCCTGGAATATGATACGTCTCTGACAGCCACAAACAAGTTTGTTTGTTTAGCTTAATTTTACTTCACCAGAAGCACAAGCAAAATCTGCCTTCTCACTGGGCGTATTGCCACAGTTCTCGCAAAATGATGAAGGTGGTGAAGAAAAGGAGGAAGAGGAAAATACAATCATGAACAAGGCACAAAGAGAAGACGGAAACAAATCAATGAGGGAGTACTACTGAAGTACAAGTAACGAATTGGAATTTGATGAATTTTTCATGAAAATACTGCAACGGATCCAAAGGTTCCAGGGTTGAGGGAATGTTGACAGTTATGCGTCTTTGAGATCTTAGGAGAGGGTAAGAGAGTTTAAGATATCGTTTGTAATTGCTTTCTTAAATCCAGAAGTGATGGACCGGACATCAAGCGGCAGGCAGTTCCAGTACACTACCAATGACCTGAACAGTGGATCGACCGGCAGGACCCGGCAAAAACGGGACACGAAGCAGACGTGAAGCCTACTACCTCACTCTCGTCGTTAGCCGCTGCAGCCGCCGCCGCGCCCTGGCAGAAGCAGACATGAGGGTGGCCTGGCACGAGCGAAACTTCTCTATGCTGGTCAAGGCACTGCGCCTGTTGGGAATTCCCTAGTAAAAGAAGAATAAAAATAATAATAAGGTGTTTCCCAACACAATTGTAAGCCGGTGGTGTGCGTACTACGGTAACTTTACTTATGTCTTTTGTTTACACCGGTAGGTCTCGTTCCAACACCTGCCGATCTTGACTTACCGTCTGTATAAGACTTGCGCTGACTCCGCGGTTCCGAGCATGAAACCTTCGTCGAAGCTTCCTATAATTATTTTAGGTGATGGCATTCCGCGCGGAAAAAGTTCTCATCCCGAAATTAATATCTGCTGCCAGCACTGTCCACCAGTGCATCGCCTCCAGGTCCGAAGAGAGAACACTGACCTACAAGTATGAGTATGAGCGCATCGCTCCTGTTCGACAAGAAACGCAGAGCATTTCTAATGACCATCTCCCACCAGCAACGGAGCAAAGATTGAGTTCCACCAGTCACTCAGTTGGCTGTAAGGAAGAGCCGCTAGAACTCACCGCAACAGTTTGAAAGTGCTACTCACTGAGGGACCTGGTGTGATACATCGACTTAAGTTTACCAGGCAAGGCATGAAGCTATCCGGCTGGGGCGAAGCACACCCCTACACGATGCCGCTCATCTAAGACGATATTATCAGAAGTGCTCCACACCGCGAGGGCGGTGGGTAACTTTCAACTCACACTACAGCTACTGTTGGGCAAGTGACGTAAGTTCGCAGCTTACCCATACTCCATAGCAAACTTGTGTACTACTGTAGCGGACATGTAATGGTACAATGCAGACAGTCCGCCCTCGGTATTAGACTGTTTTCACAGGCATTTTAGCGTCCTCGGTATTCATGGTATTAGGCTGCCATTTTTAGCTCATTTTCTTGAATCTTCCTGTTGAGGTCGCTCTTGTGTTTATTTTGCCCGTATGCAGACAGTCAGGTCACTCAGGTGCCATGTCCAACGGACTGGAAAGCGCTCGTATAGCTCTAGTGTGCATGGTATGGGGATTTTGGCAACAACAACCTTTCCTGCTCAATCTGCGGACAGAACTGTTTCGTTTGTTTGTTTGAAGTTTTATTTTACATCGCAAACCAAACGGGCATTGATGCCCAATATTATGATGGCGATAGAATAAAAAGTGTAGCTCGATAAAGCTTCACTTGCGAAAATGAGAAAACAGTCAAAAGTAAGTATTTGTACCGGTAATTACAAGTCAAGTTCGAACGAAGTAACAATCAGGGAGAAATAGGAAGATGAGGACCTATGCCAGAGGGAGGTGCTATTCGGCCATATTAACCGTAGAAAAACACTTTCAGCAATCTTTTAAACGGGGTTGGACGACGAGCGGACGTGAGTTCCTGTGGCAGGGTGTTCCAAAGCTTCACGGCGGAAACCAATGGTCGGCTGTCGCCAGATGTTCGCCGAGTTAGCGGAACAACGTATTTGCAATTGTCATTGCCACGGGTGTTACTGGGAGGTTGGAGGGCTACTCTATCTTTCAGAAGAGGGCTGATGCTGCTGGTGTGGACACGGTGCATAAGGAAACGGAGTTTGCATTTGGCACGTTCAATTACAGGGGTCAGGGAAAGGCGAGTGTATATAGGAGTGGTATGGGACGGGAAGGGCAGATTGGCTACGCAGCGAACACATCGCTTGTCGAGGACAGTGAGCTGGTGCCGCTGCTGAGCCGTGAGGGCAGAGAAGAACGCGTTTGATCCATAAAGCATGTCAGGAAGTATAAGGGCAGAATAGAAGAGGAGCGACTGGCGTTCAGATAGCGACGGGCGGATGGTTCTCAGGGTGGTTAGCTTCTGGGAAGTTTTACGTACTATGCTGGAGACCTGCGCGTCCCACCGAAGACAGGAATCGATCTGTAGGCCCAGAAAGCGAGCAGTGGTGGTCTGGGTGAGAGGCGTCCCGTTGCAGTTAACGTTGAGTTCCAGGGTACTACGGCGTGATGCCTCAATGGCTAAGACCTGCGTCTTGTCAGGGTTTAAAACCAGGCCTTTCCCGTGTAGGTAGTCAGCCAAGTTTGACACAGCAACTGATAAGACTTGATTTAGGGTTGCTACGGATCTGCTTGCGGTGTCGAGAAGGATGTCATCCGCAAACAGCTGGGAGTGTGCTGGGCTGGTGACGCTATGGACGTCCATGGTATATAGTGAAAACAGCAAAGGACCCAGTACACTACCCTGAGGGACTCCACACTCGCATGCAGTTAGGCCCGAGCACTGCCCACTCGCCAGAACTACTCTCTGTCGACGGTCCGTGAAGTAGCTCGCAAACCAACGCAAAACAGTCGAAGATACACCCAAAGCAAACAAATCTTGGATCATGAGCTGGTGCCGTACTTTATCGAATGCCTTGCTCATGTCCACTAGTACTGCGCCAGTATGTAGCTGGTGGTCTGCTGACGACAGATAGCGGTCCATAGTAGTAAGTGCGGGGCGGGTTCTGGCCCACTTTTTGACCTTTGACCTTTGGGCCAAATAAGGCACACTGTGTCGGTCGTGCTTGGTCTGGCCCCGGGACTCCCCCAGGGTTTGACCTTTGACCTTTGGGTTGAATAAGGCACACTGTATCGGGCGCGCTTGGTCTGGCCTCGGGACCCCCTAGGGTTTGACCTTTGGCCCTGCCATGTCATAAATGTCATCATGTTCTTTTCCGTGGCGACCGTGCACTTGTGCACGTTCGGTGCATTCGCACCGGGGAGTAGTAAAATACGTACTACTCCCTGATTTGCACATCGTAGATGTGCAGTGACATATTGCGCATGCGCGCATAAGCACGCGGAGCGTGCGACCTTCAGTGGCCCTGCGGAAAAGACGTATACACAAGGTGGACTAGTACACGTGTCATTGTAGGGTGATAGCCGACCTCATATACGCTGTACGGGGAGATTATTTCCTCAGTATGTTGTAGGCAGTGCTGGAGGTTACGTGACGATGGCGGAGCCAAGTGCAAAACGATCTAGGCAGCCCAGATTGCCCACCTCGAGTGCCGTGCGTGGTTTTTTGAAAAAGTTTTCTTTGCCAGGTTCAGGCACTGATCCTCTCGTCTTTTTCAGCAGCCATCATGACGAGCTCCGACAGGTTCTGCTCGAGGAGCTTCAGTCTCACCCGTTCAAGGTGGTTTTAGTTTTGAGGGTGGAGATGACACGAGAGTCGGCCACGGGTAGTACGTCTGCCGTCCCGTTTTTTAGAAGTAGACCGGCTCGGATCCTCAGCGAAGGGGATATTGATAGTGCAGTCAAGACGATGGTGGCGAGGATCACTGGTCTTATTGATAAGTGGGTGCAGAACGGATCCAACTGGACCGTTTCTCGAGTGAGACAGCTGGATGTGTCGACAGCAAAGTACACTCCTCTTCGAGGTGAGTTTCTGTTCATCCGGCAGTGTTTGTTCGAAGCCTGTCGAATTTCTTGTGGAAAGTTGTAGATGTTTTGTACTAGATGTACAGTCTTTCGTGATTGTCGAGAGGGTGTAGTTGTAATGTGGTGTAACTCTGAGAAAAACCTTCGTTGTATTTTTGTGGTGTTCTGTAGGTGGTGCAGCTGATATCCCGCCCAAATTAGAAAAAAAGAAGGCCATCATTAACGTAAAGAACAACGATGACAGGTGTTTGATGTGGGCGTTATTGTCAGCGATGCATCCCATCGACAACAACCCACAGCGTGTATCCAGGTACACCCAGTATGTTGATGAGCTGCGGTTCGATGGTGTGATGTTCCCTGCAACGCTCAGTGATGTACCCAAAGTGGAGTTACAGAATGGTCTTGCAATCAATGTGTTTGGCTACGAGGGGAATCTGTACCCACTGTATCTCAGCGAGCGACAGGAGACTCCAATCAACCTGCTTCTACATGACAACCACTTCACATGGATAAAAAACTTCAGTCGTGCATGTGAGAATAAGAACAAGCGGGC